TATCGGTAGATGACGATCGGTGTCACAGGGCACTTGCACCCATAAACATTTTAACATATTTCCATTGCTACTTTTCATTGTAAATTATAAACTTGATTCCCCGGTCAATAGAAGCCCGAGTTACATTTAAATAAAAGTTAATGATAAAAAATACCCTATTTTACAAATTCAGGTTTTCACTGATGATTGCGCCACACCGAAACGCGTTTGAGTAGTTCGACAAAACCCGCTTGTCGAGACGGACCCAATAAGCTACTTAGTACCGCTTCACCGAAAGGATTTTGGGTAGAAACAGTGGTATTTTTGTATAAATAGATTTTCCAGTTTGGTGATGGAGTGTTTGTGCTGTTTCGTGAGAATGTATTTATTAGCGTGAATGTTTAGAGTGAGTTGGCCGTTGGCTGAATATTGAGTACTCAAGACCCTAAACTAAATTAGTTATAGTTTGGTCGATATGTAGGCCTCGGAGGATTTGAATCGTTGAAAAAAGAAAAAAACCCACACGATTAAGAATAGGCTATACGAGGTTGGCACACAGTCAATTACTTTTGGGCTTTTGGGCCAAAGCCCGCGTATGAGTCCAGCATGTAGAAAAGGGTTGCTTGATGTGCCCCACTTAATTGAAGGTGCAATTCCTTGGCTCCATATAGAGAGCATGTAGGAATGCCGCCCGATGAAAGAAAGCGTGAGCTCGACAGCTACTTGAGCCTCGTGTTCAGATTTTTAGAGGAAACATGTTTAACTGTACATACACTGAGGCAGAAAAGTGTCCACCTTCTTATTTTTTTAAAGTACTTTTAATCGTTATAATTTTTATTTTTCGTTGTTTACAAGATATTTTAAAGAAAAATATAAGATATATAGCTGAATAAAAAATAAATAATAAATTAAATTGAATAAAACAATTTTGTCAAAAATGTTGCTATGGAAACAATAAAGAATATATTCAATTCAGTACGGAATATTTCCTCCTCTTGCATTGATCACCTATTGCATTCGATTTTATGAGATTTTGAATGTAGTGCTGCGAAATAATTTCATACTCTTCTAATAGCGCCATTCTAAATTCCTACAAAATTCTCAGGCATCACTGGGCGACTTTTACCCCCTTTGACAATTCGTCCCAAAGTATTTAAGTCGGGACTACAGGCTGGCTACTCCAAAAATTAATTGGAGCCCGTTACAAGTACTCACCAGCGATCCTAGCTATGTGGGGCTTTTGATAATACATCTGCAATGTATCGCGTATCTCTTAGGGACCCCTTGATGAAGATCAAGTTTGTGCGATCTTACGTAGAAATACCAGCCCAAACCTTAACACTACCACTTGGTGGTTACCTTACTTTCCTGGTGTTTCCCCTCAATCCCTGATTTGGCAGGGGTTTCATGGGTATTGAACCTGCACCCCCTCAGGCAACGAGTGCACAGTAGACGGCACTCTCACCTTAAAAGTAATTCTTGACCACGCGAGTAGAGATTCCAAGCGGCTGCTCTGAATGAGGTTGGACTCATGGTGGTTTGACAACAACTTGTACCTTCGCTGGAGGGTATATCAATCGGAACCGGCGGAAAGATTGCCTTTTCTATCACTCCGGGGGTGGCCGAAGGCTTCACTGCTGGACCTACAACACTGCCTTTTTCAGGGCTGTATGGATGCCCCTTGAAGTACTTCTTAACCTCGCATTTCAAGGGGATACGACAAGTCAAGACAATGTAAAATCTCCTGGTACTATTTTCAGATAGTACTGGGCATCTGAAAGGGGGTGAGTCAGGATGATAAAGGCATGATTCAACTCAGCTGAGTAAACTCCGACATATTCGTGGTTTGGTGCTCTCTGGGTTGATGAAATTATTATTATAATTGATTGAACGTTGAAATAGGTTGTGAATATCATCGTAAAGCGCAGGCAGCAGAGTACTGATGAATGTCCATCTATTCCAGATCTTCCCAAGTTTTGACCTTTCACGCTATCTATACTTTTGGCGAACATAAAAATAGTCATAAAACTCAGCCGTTGCCGTTTGCTGCGTTTTTTTCCTATCGCTTTATAACCCTTGGTCATAATTTTAAATGATGAGCGGTCGTGGATCTGACGTAGTTTATTCCACTGATTGTATTTTTTCTGATCAAAATCAATGATCCCGGTGACTATATGTTTTCATCCTCACAAAATGGACCAAGCTGAATCTGAGGAAATCTTTTTTAACATCAGACCGGGATATTTTACAATCTTCTAACTAGGAATTTGGATTAAGATAATATCGGAAGATTATTTTTATTTCTGACCGGTCTGTTTATAAAATAAACCTCCACTTCCTTAGACCCGGGATACCCATTTACCTGCGCATTCCTTTATGCTACTTTTTATAGCTCTTTAGAGTCCTTTTAAACTTCTATATTTATATTTGGTCCTAAGACATCCCTACATCTCCTGTGATAGTAATCGATGTTATTCTTTCACTGAAGATCCTTTCTTTCTTTCATTATTTGACATGAATTACTGTTAATTTATCTATTCTTTTGTAAAACTGATTTAATTTTTCTGGAGTTTTAAAAAAAAATAAAATAGTGATAACTGGAAAGAGAAAATATTTTATTTCCTCGAGTTAATAAATAAACAATAATAATAAATACTTTATCAAATTCGCCGTCTGCTGGAGGTTGACACTTTATACATTTGTAGAATATTTTCCGTACAATTAACCCGTTTTAACATCAAATTAAACATTTTTAACGTTAAATTTACCATTTTTATCTTCATACTCAATCTTTTTAATTTCGAATTAATCACTTTTAACATCAGTTAACTTTTTAATTTCAAATGACCCCTCTTTTACATGACGTTAATCTTTTTAATTTCCACTGCTCACTTTAACTTCAAGTTACCTTTTTTAATTTCATAGTGACCCTTTTTAACTGCAAATTAACACTCTTTTAACATCAAATTAACCTTTTTCAAATTTCAATTAGTCCTTTTTAAAATCGTATGAAACCTTTCTTTAAAGCAATGATATAGCTTAGGTGATGGAAAAATAAGCATGTAAAGTAAATTTTTGTATATATGAGACTTTTGTTTAAATATAAAAATTGGACCCTTACCCTCCTCTCGCTTGTATTATTCCATTATTAATTCGAAATTGTTTAAATAGAAAATAGTTTCTTAAAAATCATGAAAAATTAATTTCATTTAAAATTAAAAGTTCTATAACAAATAAATATAAAAAAACGAACGATTTTTCTATTAATTCCGGATTTTTTATTTGTTATAGAATAATTTGGCTCTTAAAACTTATAATTTCTCACATTTTGAAAGTTAAAAGAAAAATCCTTTCGTTTATATTTTATTGTGTACAATTTTTAATTGTAATTGTTATACTAGTTAATTAGTTTATGTTTAATTTGTTACTATGAGTACGGGACAGAAAGAGCAGTTCCTCTCGATTCTCGTTAATAACTTTTAGACACCAGGTGTACTTTATATTTCTCTGTTCGAAATTTAACAACCCCTTCCTTTCACGCTAGTAAATACAATCCAGTAGACTAAACACCGCACAAACAACAATATACATTTAAAATCCATATAACCTTGAGGTAAAGTTAAGGGAACGGTTAAAAGGAGTCTTAACGACTTTGCGCACGTCGGTCAATATTGTTCTAGTGCACAATATCCATTATTACCGTAAGTTTATACTTAAGCATACGGCTTTTTATTAGATCCCAAAGCTTTGTTAAGGACTTATGAGTGTATCCTTTAATCCTAAGCTTTTTCTTCTCTCAGAAATAAAAATCTAAGCTTTCGTAGGCCTTTGTACGAACAAAGATGTTCAGCTGTTTCTTCTTCCTGGCAATACTTCCTAATTTTGGCTGCTCTAAGTCTAAGGCTCCAGAGCTTGCAGGAGTACATCTATCATTTTAGTTCTAGATTTAATAGTTCTTCTTCTTTGATAAACTTTTTCGCATTCCTCTGTCATGGGGTACACTCCAATGGAACTGAAAATTTTTTTTTAATCCATTGTTTGATGAATTGGCATGCCAGAAAAGGGTTCAGAGTGGATAGGTGTACCCATTGACTAACTTTGCCCAATTTCATCAGTATCATATAAGCGTGACTATCCTCACCAAATTAAAGAATAGGCATTGCCAGGTTGACACACTTTCAAACCGAAGTCTGCGTATGCTGTTGCTCAATGTTTGTCGCTTAAGGATGTCGTTACTTGGCTCTGTGTAAAGAACGTGTAGGAATACCAACCGACATGAGAATCGTCCTTGAGCACGGTAAGAAGTATTTGGATTTATTATTTTGATCTGTGGAGAAATCAGGGATGTTTTGTTGTATACAGTACTTATTGATAAATATCTTGTTTCGTGTTCCCTCTTGTGTGCATTGAGAGTGAACGTGTTTATTAACGATTAATTAAGGTTTTTAGTTGAGATGAAAAAAAGTTAATNGATAGCTCAGGTGGTAGAGCAGCGGCGTATCTAGCCGAAGGTCGTGGGTTCGAATCCCTCTCGTGCCATTAACTTTTTTTCATCTCAACTAAAAACCTTACTTAATTGTCATGTATTAATTGTTCAAGCGGACCATGAAAGTAGTGAATTAGTGTTTATTAACGTAAATTCATAGTGACAGAAGATGCTTTTGCTCGTAGATTAGGCCTGATTTCTAATAAAATGGATTTTTCTTTTGATTTAAATTTATTATCTGTGAAGGTTCCCAAAAGGGTATTGTTGTTAGGTGAAGGTTGTTGGGAAAGCGTATTGTTAAGATTGGGCAATCGGAAGTGGCCTGGAATCTCGGGATCCGACTTGGCCTTTTTCGAAAACTCCAGACGCAGCTAAACAAAGCTGGCGAAATGGTAACAGCTGGACGTTTTCGATTGAGAAATGTGGGTCGATCCTGGGCAATCGCCCTAGAAAAATTTACTGTTGTGCTGTTTTTTTATTCCTCCACCCACAGGATTAACTAATGCCCGGACTCATCCGGAATAGCTCAATGACCTGGGGAGGACAAGGGCAATCGAGTCACCAGGAAGCATAACAGTATTTCCTAAGCTTGACGGGCTCCCCACCTCATCCCCGACTGATTGATAAAAGTACGATTCCAAAAAGAATGGGAGCAGTCTAGAGGGCTGGCGCAAGGAAAACTAAGTCAGGGTCTGAGAAGAAGGCTGATGTGGCCGTGACAGCTGGTGTAGAGAGGAATCTGCGAGAAGTCAGTAGTCCTAGTCAGTAGACGGGGAGTCGGCCAGGAATCAGTAGGAGTCGATCTAGAGTCAGCCAGTAGTTCGCCAGGAGATAGTGAGACCAATGCCAACATCTCGTTCTGTGAGTACACTATTTGACAATCAGTTGGCGAGAGATTTGGAGAACAGTTGGGGTGATTTCGCACTGCGGTCTAATCTTTCATGATATGACCCCCAATAATTAAGCCCCTAGTAATAAGGATTTGCTAATAGGAATAAGAGTGTTGTTTTGTAAGGATAAATATTTATTTAGTTTATAAGTTTTTTATTATTTATTAAGTCGTGGATTGTATAATAGTGTAATAAGGAAATAATTGATTGATGTTTCTTTGTCGAGGAATTGTTCTGGTAGAATAAGGGACTTGGATATTTCACCCTAGTAGTACAATCTTTTTCCAAACCTACCCCTATAGGGCTTAGTTAGTAGCTAGTAGAAAGTGGTGGGTGGGTGTTCACCTGTCAAGTCCGGGCAACCTGACACATCCTACCCCCTAAAAGGCTTGACGGGCCTAGAGTGAGTAGCGCGCTACTCGCTCGGAGCAGTGAGCACTCTAGCGAGCGTCAGCGCTCGTTCTCGTTCGTTCGATCGAACCGCGAGCCTCTCACCACATTAAATATTTATTATATTTCGTTTTGTTTGATATTATAATTTGGAATAAAAGTAAAAAAAGTGTTTTTTCTATAGGTAGGTTAAACTTTAATTTTTTTTAAATTCACTAGTTTCGTGGTCCGCTTGACCAATTAATATCATACAATTAATTAAGGTTTTTAGTTGAGATAAAAAAGTCAATGGCACGAGCGGGATTCGAACCATTTCATGTTGGCCATTTCATGTCGCCGATAATTTGAAAAATGGCGAAAAGGAGGGAAAATTCAAAAGGTGTGGTTGAGATGGGAAGTCCGAATGGATCGAGGTCACGACAGCTCAAGTGGTAGAGCAGCGGCGTATCAAGCCGAAGATCGTGGGTTCGAATCCCGCTCGTGCCATTGACTTTTTTATCTCAACTAAAAACCTTAATTAATTGTATGATTTTAATTTTTTTGTTTAACCAATACTTGTATAAGAAAATTTCAGTCTTTGGTTAATATCTTCAGCAAAATTGATTAAAATTTGAGAAGAAACAGTTTTGTATTTTTCTTTGACAATAAATATAAATTGATGTGACAATTTCTCCTTAAAATTTGTATATTCCAAATGAGCATTAAAAATACTGCTAAAATTATTTCGAAAAAGTTAATTACAATTATCCCAGGTGGTGTTGTAAAGCTATTTGCCAATGATACGAACCACCAGGCCTCGTGTTTATTTACATTAATACACCTGGATCCCAACGGAGGTACGTTAGCATAATTGAAATGACGGACTGCCGATTGACAATGTGTTTAATTGTCATGCATAAATGTATATTGTTGTACTTTTTTTACCCCCCCCCCCCGCAAAAAAAAATCAACAATTGTTTTTGTTGAACTGACAATAAATATGTCCGTATCAGGTTCATTTCGGTGTTTTCCTTCTCGGCTCTTTACACATTTATATTTGGCTAATATCTTTCTAAACTGTTTTACCATCACATCATTAAGAATGATGAAATTTTCTTTAGAACATCCCGTCTGCAGTGAAGTGAGCGAACGTCTGATTGCTTTTGTTAAAGAGTAACAACCCGTTCGTTTTTCTCTGAGGGTAGATAAGACGGTTTTATTATTGACAGACTTCCGAGAAAAGATATTTATTCAAAACGATGCAGTGAATACACCTGACCCCCGTGAAATAAATATTAGATCTGCGGTCGATCGCAAGGAAAATGAAGGGAATTTCGCCCTCTAGTTATTTCATCCCTTGAGCGCAGGGGATCCTATGAAAATTAGCCCTTCTGTAGCTAGAAACTAAATTGAATCCTTTTAAATATGATGTAAATATTTACATACCTCTTTACGTATTGTTTGCCGGCCTTAAAATTATCCACAGTGTACATTTAACAGACTACCACGATTTTATAATGAAAATTTACCTACCACTAGAAACTTAATTACTTAATTTTTTTTATGTTCGTGTCCTTTAAAAAAAATTATCTGATCGGAAAACTTCTTCCCAGCCCTAAACAAATGCCCAAAATATAAATTGAAACTTATATCCTTTCATTTGGGAATGTTTAAAAATTAGATTAATATATTGGAATGTATTCGCGCGATGTAAAATATTTCTACGGTTCACAGAATCCATTATTTTATTTTTAAAATAATCTATGGTCGATCATTTTGGTCTGCCTATCCTAGGTGGTTTGATCTGCCAGACGTGTTTAAACTTCTCGCCATCATCAATGTTCTTACTGGATCCCGTACCGGTATCGAGTAATAAAATTAATTTACAAATTTCACCGGTTTGTCGGAATACATGATACGAACTTTATTTTTTCTTCCAGCTGATTTTATAAAATACAAACACCAAACACGTAACATAACTCATCCTTAGCGTGACCTAACTCCAATCAAAACCGAAGCTTTCCTAGCCAAACCTAACTCGCCCCTGACTCAATTTCTAACCTAACTTAACTCTAATTCAAACTTACTATTTCTAACTTACCCTAACACATCCTTAGCCTGACGTAACTATAATCCAGACACAAAATTTTCCTAACCTAATAACTCGTCCCTAACCCATCCTTAGCCTAACCCAATTCCCAACCTTACCTAACTCTAATCCAATCTCAAATCCTTCCAAACCTAACATAACTCATCTCTAACCCTAACCTAACTATAGCTCAAACTGAATCTCTTCTTAATCTAACCTACTCGTCCCTAACCTGACGTAACTCTAATCCAAACCTAACCTAACTCGTCTCTAAGCCAAACCTTAGCCTAACCTAACATTAATTCTAATCAAAATAAAAAAAAAACTCGTGTCCCTAACTCAAAACTTAGCTTAACCTAACTCTAACCCAAGCCCAAAGCCTCCATATTCTAATTTGACACGTTCCTAAACGCAAAATTAAGTTTTACAATATTCCTTTTTGCACTGTTCCCCTTGTTGTTGTTTGTAAGAAGAAAAAGCCCTTTCAAATATTACTTATATATATTTGTTTTTAAATGAAGGTTTCGCAGAGAACCTTCTATATCCTTCTATAGAAGTGACTTTTTTTTTACTTTTTACTTTCACTATATTTTGTATTTTGCTTATATAATAAAAAAGTGATTGGAGAATTTATTAACTCATATTATTTTCTCATATTGACCACTGTCCATTTAGAGTTAATTTAAATTGAAGAATGTAAGTGGAATGTAAAACTATCCGATTTAACAAATGTTTCGCCTGTTTCAGGTTCGAGAGAAAAAGGAGCATGGGAGAGAAGTACCAATCGGACGAGAAGTGTTATATATCTATTTGATCAATGAAGAATCGATTTGAGATGCGGAGAGTTATCCGACCGCTTATGACAGATGAATAATAACGGAGAAGCCAACAATTTCCAAGCGGGTATTGTTCCGTCCAGCTCGACTTTGAGAGATGAGGAACGTTCTAACTGCTTCTGTTTCGAAAGTGACGATGACAGCATGGAAAAAATCCGACTCAAGCACACGAAGCGCAAATTAGCGAGAGGATGTCTCAGCAACATGGTGATATGCGTTATACTGGTCGGGTACACGTTTTTAGGAGCGGTGATTTTTTTGGCGATCGAAGGTGGTACCATTTTCCACATAATGACGAAGCAAGAGGACAAAAAGGTGGGCGAGGCGTTTGTGAGCGTAGCGCCGAAATTTTACAATTTGACCACCGCCGGTGTTTGGCTGGACCAATTGGGAGAGGAATCGAGGACGAAGGCGGTGGAAAATATTTGGGAAATAACTGTCAGCCTCAATATACTCTATAAAGACAACTGGACGCGTCTCGCATATCAAGAGATTTCCAAATTTCAAGAGGCACTCGTTAAACATTTAACGGACGAGTTAAATTTTCAAGCGGAAGCAGCCAACGAACTCAGGCCACCTGAAAATAAAAACGAATGGACGCTAGCCAGGGCATTTCTTTATTCCCTCACAGTGCTCACCACAATCGGTAAGTTTTATTTACTGGTAAAATAAATATATTTTCATGTTAATCCCTCATTTAATGCAGGTAATTAAGCCCATTTTTCAAAGAAAGTTTTACACGTGTACTGCAAATACTCTCAATCACTAAAGAACTGACTCTCCTCGCAGTACGGAATCTCAGCGCGAGACTTACTAATATGCTCTGAAGAGTAAATTGAAGAAAATCTAGCAAGCCAGGGGGTGATCGAAGTGAGAAGAATAAAACGCAAAACAGACAGGGGTCTCACAAAATACAGCGTCAATTGTGTTGACATTTGACAGATCAGAGTTGCCGGTAGAAGTACGAGCGATATACCAATGATTCGTGGCCCGTCGTTCGTATTGGCATCAATGAGATGGTTCAAATGTTTAAAGTCTGGCCATAGCACTTCAATGTAGAAGTCAGAACACAATCTGCCCGAGTGGCGTGACGCTCCACGAAGGACAGTCATGCATAGATAGAGATGATTGTGATGGGTCGCACGATGCAAGATGCTTGCCCAGTATTAAAAGAAGAAAGAGAAGTACAAAAGTTAAAGGCAAAAAAGGGCATGAGTCATGACGAAGCAAGGGTTCTGGTCGGAAGCTCCGTATTCACGACCAAATAAGGGCTATGCGAAGGCCGTCGGACCGGAAGGGGGTCTTCTACGTAAGCAAAGAGGTCCGACCCGAATCCGGTGGAAGACACATGGTGGAGTAGCGCTATATGTATACGAAAAGTTGACATTAATTACATCCAGGCGATCGAAATGAAAATAAAACACCACTAGAAATAATCTTTTGTAACGTCTACCTCCTATAGAGAAGGTGGCACCATACGCAAATAGGAAGATTAATAGGCAAACTATTCCGCCCCTACTTAATAGTAGGAGATTTCAACTCCCAAAATACCATGTGGTGGTCGGAAACGACAAACCCCAGGGGCGGGCGCATGGAAGATATTGTAAACGAATGAATATCCGGCGTACATAAGTTTTTACACCGAAAGGTTCCGTACAGAGCGGAGAATGAACAGCTTTCACTGGACTTGACCAGCGAAAACGAGGAAGAACACAACCGGACAATAACGATGGCTGAACTAGAAGAGATCTTAGACGGTTTAAAAGACGAAGCTCCTGGTATCGAGGCGTGCCCAATGCGATGCTTTGCCACTTCCCAGAATTGGCTAGGCTTCGCCTCTTAGAGTTGTACAATAACATTTGGGGCGCCGAAGAATACCCGGAGTAATGGACATTAGTCATCGTAGTACTGATCGCCAAACAAGGCAAAGACCTCAGGTAACCCTCAACCCGATATCTTTAACCACCTGTCTGGGTAAATTCCTCGAGTTTTACATGAGATTTATACATAAAAGACCAGTATGGAGTTTGGAGACTCGGGGACTACTGCCGCCATCAAGCGGGGATTCATGGGAGGATGTGCTTCAATTGATCAAGTGGTTCTTCTCGAGGACGAAGTACAAACCGCGTTCCTGGACAAGGAACATGGTGTGACCGGGTTCTTCGACCTCGAGAGGGCTTACGATACGACATGACAGTATGGTATCCTACGGAAATGTAACGAGTTCGGCCTGAAAGGCAGATTTCCGGAGTTGCTTAGGAGCTTCCTCAGGAACCGGAAGTTTAGGAGTAGGCTGGGTAGTAAGCTATCCGAAAGGAGAGAGCAATCCGTAAGGATGGGTACTGTCGGTAATCTCTTTGCGATTTTGGTTAACATCGTAATGAGCCCCCGATAATGATCTCGCTCTACATCGACGATGCCGCTATCTAAGTGCACGGTATAGAATTGTAGCTATTACCAAGAGGATAGGTTTTTCTTTCTCCACGGGAAAAACGAGGGCAGTACTCTTCTGAAGATTGAGGAAGGAGGGAATAACTCCGCTGCGGATCCTAGAATACGCGAACCGCTCAAGGTTCCTTGGCACGATCTTCGATGAGAAGCTAAGATGGCAACCATATATCACGAATATCGACGTTCAGTGCAAACGATGTCGTCATCCTCCCGAGATTCCTGTCGAACTTTAGATGGGGAAGAGAAAGAGAGGTACTGATTACCCTTTTTAAAAGACTGCTGTGCCATAAGAGCCAAGAAGATTATAGCGGCCCGAGGGGTAGAAATGAACCAGGTATAGGCAGAAAAACTATCTGAAACGGCCGCTTCGTTACTCCTTTCCTTCATCGTATGGTGGGATATTGGGGGGAAAAAAAAGGGACACCCCACTATGCATATAAAGTAATGTTTGAATCCCTAAAAGATGAATATAAAGATGCCACATCCATTTTTGCAGGTGGGTCCAAAAGGGCAGAGGGCGTGGGGTGTGCCGTGTACACGGAGGGAGAAGTTAAACAATTATCGCTTCCACCTACTGCGTGTACACGGCGGAATTAAACACCAAATCCTTTGCACTGAGCTAACTCTAATCCTAACTCAAACCTTGTCTTAACTGACTCTCATCCTAACCCAAACTTTACCCTAATGTAACTCTCATTCTAACTTAGCCTAACTTAGCCCTCCCTAACCCTAACCTTAATGGATATATAACCTAACCTTACTCTGACTCTAACCTGGCCTAACTCTAATACTAGCCCAAACCCTTCCTAACATAAGACTTCCCTAACCTTATCTTAACCAATGCTAACTCAACCCTGCCATAACTTAATCCTCATCCTAACCTAGCCAAAACTTCAATAACCTAACTTTCAGCCTAACAAAAACCTTACACTAACCTTTCATAATTATAACCTAACCCAAATCTATCCTAGATGGATTAGTAACTTGATGTATCCTACTTAATAACCTAACTCGTCCCTAATGCTAATTCTAATTGATGTATCATAAAGTTAACCCAGTTAAGTAATTAAGTTTATGTTAAGTAAACTCTAACTTGACTTACCTCTTATCTTAGCCCCATAAACTACCTTACCTAACTCGAATCCTATCCCGCCTTACCTGACCTAACTCTTATCCTAGCCCAACCCATGCACACTTGCTGGTAAATAGAAATTTATTGGGCAATAATAACTTTTGTAACCAGCCCAAAAATATCCAGTTAAAACACCAAGTCCACACTGTGCCGAAGATTCCTTTGTGCTGTCATCGCATGTTACAATGCAGGACAGTGTGCTCATATAAGCATGCTATTATAAAAAACTTTGTAACTTTAAAACTACAAAGTCACTTTTACTTACTTTCTTCTCTTACCATAAATGATCCAAAAGTTTTTACTTGATATTCCTTTTGCCTTTTTAATAAATGAAGCCTTTAGCTGTCCTTATTTGCTCAACTGTGATAAGACCTAACAATCGAACTAGGTTCAAAATTAAATTTAATGGTGTTGACTGAAGATTTGTTCTCTTCCGAGAACATGACCTTTATTTATTCTAAAAATGTATGTACTTTATAGTCCTTTCTCTTGACCTAGCAGAGAAGGTTTACAATGTGCAGTAATGAAATTAAATGTGAAAGTTATAATTAAACAATGTAAATTACAGTAACAAGTAGACTATAGTATATTTACTAAAGTAAGTTATATATTTTACTTTTTGAATGTATCATCCTATCATCCTAACCATTCATCCCTAACTCCAACCTAACACAAACACTACTAAACCTAACTCATCTCTTACCCTAACCTCGATGTATATATCCTAATGTTAACCCTAACCTTAACCTAACCTCCTGTAATCCTAACCTAAAACCTACCTACATAGTAAGTTATATAACTTGCTTTTTGAATATGAATTACAATTATTATAACAAAACATATAATAAATATTAATTGAAATATAGTTGTTGCTTCTTCTTCTTAACACAAGGGAATATTTATAAATTGACATAACCTTTGTTTTAATTAGAAGACAATAGAGATTTGTAGCTTGACTATATTTTTGGTGAAATTTATAAATATTTTTGGTTGCCTGTTGTAACAATCTGTCTAATGTTATGTTTATATTTTTAGGTTATGGAAATATGTATCCCAAAAGTGGCCTTGGGAAGGCCGTGACAATGGGCTATGCTGCAGTCGGCATTCCACTTGTTTTACTTTACCTGTCAAGTGTTGGAAGTCTACTTTCAAGCTGTGCTCGAAATGTTTTTACTCGATCGCTCTGCTGCTGTCTTTGTTCCAATTGTGGTTACTGTTGTTATGATGAAAAGAGAATGCAAGAAAAAGAACAAAGGATGAGGAAAAAACGAGAAAGGAGGGAATACGAGCAGCAAGTTCAAAGTTTGCGAGGGCAAGAACCATTTTATGTGCGTTCCAGCTCTGCATATACATCATCGTCCAACATTGAGATATCGACAGTCAGAGAAGAGTCATCAAAACCGACAGTCACAAGATCGGCTTCAGTCCTAGAAGCAGACTGTCTGAGCACTGACACTTCAGTGCTGGGTGATGCAAAAACAAGTTTTTATGCTCCTCTTCTCCTGTGCTTAATTGTAATGGTCATTTATATCGGGGCCGGTGCTGTAATCCTCTGTAGGCTAGAAAATTCCTGGACTCTTCTGGATAGTATATTTTTCTGTTTTACTATTTTAAGTACCATCGGATTCGGAGATTCTATGCCCAACAATTCTATCCTTTCACATAAATCCTCCAATTCCTCTTCCCTGGAGGAGTTAACAATTTGGTTTTTCTCTTTGTATATAATTTGTGGCTTAGCCCTAACAGCCATGTGTTTCAATGTCGTACACGAAGAAATAGTGCACAGGCTAAAACATCATTATATCATTGTAAACAATGTTTCATCCAGCAAAGAATACTCAGTCAACTCGTATAAAATGACAAATCAGAGTAACATAAACGATGATGCTGTCAACACGACAGATTTTCTTTCTATATCCTGACAACCTGCTCATAAATTGGTCTCTAGTTTTGGTAACATTAAGGTAATCAGTGAGCCCATCAGCAACCCAATCGCCGAAACATTTGATCTTGATCCAGAATATATCGACATCGCTTTTGAAAGCGTAATCCCAATGGTTTCGAAAACTCAAGATGTTCATCACAACAATCTGGCCTCCTCAGACGAGAACAAAAAAAATGTCAATATTTGACAAACCAGTGATTTACATGAATTGTAAAAACTAAAAAAAAAAATCATGTAACTTTTGTGCAAATTTACAAAATAAGTAACCAGAATAAATATTTAAAAACATAACATTTTATGATTCAGCTATGGTTACTTCTTTATTGTAAAACACTTGATAGAAAAATATTTTTCAGTCATACATTAAACAATTATGTAAATAATTACTAAGCCAATGTCTTCTTGAATCATTACCTTCTTATAATAAGTGTCGTAGAAAAAATATAAAAACTTGTAGACTATTTTTAAAAAGAATATTTAAACAAAATTTTTTTTAATACACATCATCTAGAATATTATGTACATAACAACCCTCATCAAGTTGAGTTTGAGCAATCATTCATGATTTTTTAAATGTACCTTTGTGTAATAACACATCAAATTTAAGTTTGATTACTTTACAGTTATAATTATCACATTAAAAACTTTATTTTATGCATTTCCCATATAGGCTTTTTTGCGATGTGAGTCAATTATCCATTACATTATACCAAAAACTAAACTATAATAGTATGAAATGTATGAATTTATTCAATAGTGGTTAGTACTATTAATAAATGTTACTGTACCAAATGTAAATACTTTTTAATAATATTATTCTACACTTTCATATGGATTGTAATATTATCGCAAATATAAATCTGTGTATTTTAAAAATTAAAACAGATAAGTGTCAAAAAAGTAATAAATACCCATTGCAAACATAACCCCAAAGACATGAAACAATAGATTGATGTGAAATGATTCCTTTGCTTGCAATCTTAACCTTGTAATGTTAAATTATTCTGTTTTGTTTGTTGTTGCATTTTATAGTAAAGTATTTCCATTTTTGCTGATTTTCATTCAGACTACCTTTTCCTAGATTGATAAAAACCATGAAAAGTTGATGTAAGGTTATTAACATACTTAAGCACTTAAAGATGAGATGATGTATCGACCTGCTTGTTGAACAACTTGAACAAAAGGATCTTCAGTGATGTCACAACAGAAACGACAATTCTTTAAGTTTTTGCCGAGCTTTCGACGATCATATATAGCTATATATAGCTCGGCAAAAACTTAAAGAAGTGTTGTTTCTATTGTGCCCTCACTGAAGATCCCTTTGTTCAAGTTAAACTTCAGCACATTTAGCAAACAATAAGTTGATAAAAACTATCAGAAATTGATGTAAGGTTAATAACATGCTTAAGCAATATAGCAAACAATTTGAGATGATAAAAACTATGAGAAATTGGTGTAAGGTTATTAACAAACTTAAGCACATTTAACAAACAATGTGAGGAATCAATTAAATCTACAAACACATAGAGTAAAAATAAGTGGCTAATAAAAGAAAATAAGGTCAATAAATACTTTAATTGATAATTTATTTTCCAATTAAGAATAGGCTATGAGAGGTAGACACAAACACTTATGTTTGGACGAAAGCTTGCATGTCTAGCATGTATAGAAAGGTTGCTCAATGTGTCCCACTTATTTGAACAGTGGCTTTCCTTGGCTCCATATAAGAATCGATGTGAGAATTGTGCTTTAGTATGGCAGCAAGTACTTCTGTCCCCTGTTTCGATTTTTCAAGGAAACAGGGCTGTTTTATTGCATGTATTACTTGATGGATATCCGTATTCTCTTTCTATATGAGGTTGAATGTATTTATAAGCGTGAAAGTATAGTGTGAGAAGGCCAATGTTTGAATATTGACTGCTCCAGACCATCAATTAGATTGATTATATTATAGTTATAGTGATAAGTCAATAGGTGGTCTTTAGAGGATTTGAAACCTAGAAAAGAGATTAAGAATAGGCCAAATGAGGTTGACCCACTTGATTGAAGAGTGACATTCCTTTGCTCTATATAGAGAGCAATTATACCAGAATATTTAGGTCATGTTTCAATTTTTGGAAGAAACATGGTTCTTTAACTGAATATAGTACTTGATGAATATCTCGTTTTCTGTTTCTGAATGAGGTTGAATGTACTTATTAGCATGACTGAGTAGTGTGAGAAGACTGTGTTGGAATATCGAGTACCACATTGACCCTCAATTGCATTAGTAAGTAATATATTCCAGTTCTTATAATAAGACATGCAGAGAAAGGTTAAATGTCTCCCACTTTCATGGCTCTATATAGATTGTGCAAGATTGCCACCTGATAATCAGAATTGTTCTTTACTAAAGCAGTAAGTATTTGGGTCGCATATTCTGATTTTTTGAGGAAACTTCTATTTTATTGAATATTTTGCAGATATCTCATTCTGTGTATATTGAGAGTGAATTTCTGGGGGGGAGATGGCCAATGGTGGAATGTTTCCATTGGCTCTCACTTAGGTTAGTTATATAGGAGTAAAGGGTGTGTAAAATATCTAGTACTTCACCACCCTGAGCAAATGGCATGTAAATAGGAAAGAATGTGAGTGGGTTTGGATTGAACCTGATTGCTTTAGAGGCTGAAACGGCCAAATTACATATTTCCTTATAATTTAGTCATTACTGACCACCTAGCCTGCCAAAATCACACTATCAAGCGATGAAGATAGCAGAAAGTCAAAACCAGCCTGATAGACAGTAACGACTAAATTATTGGCTTATCACCCCACAGACCACTCAGAGAAATCGCGTAGATTTACTCTGGAAAACTACTTCTTGAAAACAGGTGAAGCTTTACGTAAGTGGCTATACCATATCTGGTCTCAATTACCTCCTGACTGTTTAAAACATTTTGGCACAATAATATTTTCTCCCAAGGCACTCTTTTTGCTATGGAAATATATATTTATTAGGACAATATCTTCTCTGGGTGTTTGGCAATTTGATGATTGATGAAATTATGTTCCGACTTCCTTTTTTTATGGAGAGGGCAGGGGTCAAATAAAACTTCCAACCTTTACTCCACCTATTGTGGAAATTATGACCACACTGTGGAAATTGCACTTTTTACCTCAAAATTAAGCACTTTCCTCCTTGCATCTTCACTTACTTCTCATGGTGTGAGAAGGCTTCTGCTCGATACCTACACATCATATTCTGGAACCATTCTCAAAGTGACTGTTTTCGTAGGGCCATTAGCCAATTTAAGCACTCCCTCACTAGTCAGGAACTGAATGAATATGCTTCATTTTTGGTCCTTACCTTCCATCTACATTAATTATAATGATTTAAAATGAAGTATACTTCACTAAAGCTCTACGTGGTCATTTCATTTGTTGTCGAGAATCCAACCCGATTACACGACATTTGAAAAATGGCAAAAAGGAGGGCAAATTCAAAAGGTGGGGTTGAGATGGGAAGTTGGTGTCCAAGTGGATCGAGGTCACAATAGCTCAAGTGGTAGAGCAGCGGCGTATCAAGCCGAGATCGTGGGTTCGAATCCCGCTCGTGCCATTGACTTTTTTTCTCAACTAAAAACCTTAATTAATTATAATACTGATTAATGTTTATTTAGCTCAACTCTCCTCACGTATGTACATACAGTGAAAAAATATCTATAAAAAATAAATAAATTTAAGATAAAAAAAATCAAAAATGTATCCCAATAATTGCGGTGAATATAAACTATGTAAAACTAGGCAGACAAAAGGCAAAAAAAAATCAGAAAGAAAATAGGGTAGATGATAAGGAAGGGGTAAAAGTTTAAGAGAGACAGAGAGAGTGGACTGATTGTGAACAGAATGGGGAGAAAAAGTGGTTCTTTGACGAGGAGGGAAAAGGAAGAGTGTGGGGGAACTATCGAGGTGTGTGCTGCCTTGAGTGCCCAGTTAGGGTTCTTAAAAGGCAAAAAACTATGAGGAAGTCCTCATCATTGGACCCAGAGAGCATACCATTTTGAATGAGATGTCTCATCACTGGGCTTGGAGAACACACAAGCCCGAACGAGATAATTTGTGTCTGGAGATCATAAACTTGCCCAGGGTCTGGAGAGCATCGAATGAGATAACTCGTCCTGTGTCCTGTATCTGGAGAGCATAAAGCCCGAATGAGATAACTTTCCTAGTTCTGGAAAGGTTAAAAAGCCATGGGCTATGCTGGATATGAACCTACACTTACTACCATGGCAAATACGAGCCAGATGTCCTAACCAAGCAGCTTGACCACCATGGTTTTCTTATTTAATGGTTTATACCATTATTAAATTCACTAATTTCGTGGTCTGCTTGACCAATTAATATATTACAATTAATTAAGGTTTTTAGTTGAGATAAAAAAGTCAATGGCACGAGCGGGATTCGAACCCACGATCTTCGGCTAGATACGCCGCTGCTCTACCACTTGAGCTATCGTGACCTCGATCCACTCGGACACTAACTTCCCATCTCAACCCCACCTTTTGAATTTTCCCTCCTTTTTGCCATTTTTCAAGTTGATGTCCGAGTGGATCGAGGTCACGATAGCTCAAGTGGTAGAGCAGCGGCGTATCTAGCCGAAGATCGTGGGTTCGAATCCCGCTCATGCCATTGACTTTTTTATCTCAACTAAAAACCTTAATTAATTGTATTATACCATTGTGTTGACATCGATTTAAGCGCTTCTGTAAATCATGTCGTAGTAAGCCTTCAAAGGTCATTAATAGGGGTCAAATTAAGAATCACTTCACCAACCTTTCATTTTATATTATTTTTTATTTTCTAAACTTTTTACAAAGATACATTTTATATTAGTTCAATACATTTTTCTTTAAACAGGCCCCACAACTATTCTTAGAATATATTGGAGAACAATTAGAGACATGTAAAATATTTTCAACGCTTCAATAAAAGATTTTTCCCTTTCTCTCTCTCTCCCCTCCCTTTCTAAATATTAATTACTGGGCTTCTGGAAGAAATATGTTAAACCTTATTTTATTTTTAACCAATGGTAACCGCCAAATATTAAACGGAAATTATTCTTGTTGTTAATTCTTAAGCTAAGTTAATGCATTCAACATGCATTACAATTAATTAAAAATCAATCAAAAATTATAATTACCTTATTTATGTTAAAAAGTACTATACATAAAATCTAAATTTAAACATTACTTCTAAACATGATTAAATGTTAAACGTTCTACTCTGACTACAAATTAAAACATCGATTGTTATCGACAGAACCATACTGACCTAATTTGATAATACTCCACGTAACATACAGTAATCAATAATGATTAACATACAAAACCTGCTAACTGTAGTATTTGATAACTGAACTAGGTTTTTTAGGGTTATTTGCAGCTTTCAACAACAAGAATAATTTCTTGACTTCCCTTCATAATTCATCTCTGGGGGCACCAAGCATATTAAATTTAAAAATATTCTCATAATAATAATTACTTTACGTCTGTCCAAAGATATGGTTCTAAACAATATTTTGATAAAATATTTTTTTTTCTTCTTTTTATATTTCCCTGTTTATAAAATAAAATGCTCGAGTTTAAAGTAAATATTTTCTTTTTAGTTTTTATAATTGTCTTAATCACAGTTCTTAAAAAGGCTGAATACTATAAGTACCCAAATTGCAACCTCTTATGAAATCAGCAGCAAGAGCAGTTTAAAAGAAAACAAAAAGAAAAAGAAAAGAAAAAAAGACAATATAAAAGGAAAGAGTAATTATTATATTGTAAATGCAATAGAAATGTTAACTTAGAATTAAGGACACGGATTTCAAACACTTTTTACCTATTGAACTGTATGTAATACATTATGACATAGCATTAAAAATTAAATTTTTATTAGTAAGCTTTTTTTCTTATGGAAAATCTCAAAAGATGATTTTAAAAAAAAATCTGAGAAGTGTTTGAAATCTTTATCCTGTTATTTTATATTTTGTACCAATTACAATAATCAAACTATGTCCTATTTTTAACTGGATAAATTATTGTTTAAAAAATACACTGTCATGATAGTAACAGCCTACAAATTTTGTGTTTAATTAATTTGAGCACTGTGAGCACAATTTTTTTTCTCTTCTGAAAATATTGTTCATGTAATCATATGTAACAACTGAAAACTTCGTACATCTCGCATTGTACCGTGCTAAATTAATAAAACAAAAATTCCTAAAATAAACTTTAAAAATATAACTTTAACAATATTATAACGTAGGATGTTATTTATCAAATATTTAGTTTAGAGTCCGTTAAGTTGAAAAATTAAAATGAAAAATTGAAACAAATACTAAAAGGCAGTGGATGCAACATATTTTCGGTCTGTTTACATGACACGTTTCTTTAATTTATGCTTAAAAAGTAATTAAAAACACAAATTTTAAGGTAAAATTTTAATTATCTATTAAATCATTTTATCTATGTAATAATCAACATTTAGATAAATTGAAATCGATACCTTTCAAAAATTAAATCCAAAATTTAACTAAAACATTGTATTTACATATGACATTTTACAAACTGACTTTTCTAAGGGTAAAACAATAGAAAAAAAATACCATCACTCCTATAATAAATTTAAAACTGTCAACAAAAAAAAAATTTAAAACCTCGAAACAAGAGAAACAAAAACTCAAGTGTGTGAATTTTCCCTTCTCAACCATTAAAAAAAATATATATATAAAATTATAAAATAAATAAACAAAATTGGAATGTATAGTTATAACTATCTGTGATAAAATAACAGTGTTTTTGTTTTTAGAGGACTCAACCAACTTTTGAGAAAAAACATCCTAATTCTGAATTTAACTACAGACACAATCAACTAACAATTTGTAAATAAATTTTGTAAATAAAAACGTAACCATTAGGCTAAATTAAGAAGTAATTCAGTATACAAAGAAATTTTTTTTGTAATTTATTTATTTTTAATTTTTTAATTTTAATTTTTTTTGTTAATGCTAACGTATTCCAAACATGTATGTTTCATACTTTTACAATGTATTTACTAGCCCTGCATGCTATCTTCATTAATACCTAAAATAAGAAATGGTTTGTCAGATTTGAAAAAATATTCAAGGAAAAAACTACTGAATTCTTTAAATCGAGAACAATTTCATTTAATTTGATCAAATGACAGTTTAAAGGCACATTTAACTCGTTCAATGCAGGCAATTTCAATTTCCACCATCCCAGATGATAAAAAATTCTTACTGCTTGCAGGTCAGCCACATTGGACGTGTTATTTGTTACCTTTGTTTTAAGTCATTTAACCATCATAATTATCAATAATAGGGGTAATTTTGTATCAGATCATTACCTGTAATAATTAGGCTTAAATGGTCCTGCTTTGTTTAATCCCATGTATTTAGCTTGATCATCTGTTAATTCTGTTAAATGGGCATCAAATGTAGGAAGATGAAGGCTAGCAACATACTCATCTGAAACAAAACAAAAAATATTTTTTTCTAATAAAAAAATATTTAAAAAATGAACATTCTGTACCATGTGAAACTCACAAATTTGTATGGATTGCCAAATAAATACTGAAAAATATAGTCTTACTTCCCATATTCAGACATGGGATTTTGTCTACTTGTTGAAAAAGTATTAGGTACATTATATCCATTCAGATATGAAGTGGGAATGTCCTGGACATTGCTGTGGAATATGAAACTGATCGAGTAGCAGAAATACCGTAGTACAGAAATAAGAGGTAAGGTAACTATACGAGAAACATTTCATTCAAACCCAGCTGCAGTAGTGTGGGCATGAGGTGCATACCTGAGCATACACACTCGAGAATACTACTTAACTGACAGATCCTGGCAAGTCATAACCAGTATGACTAGACCTGAGGTATGGGCAAAATTGGGTAGAGTGAGACCCAAGCCAAAGGAAGCAAACACCAGTGAAGCCGGAAAGAGGTTAATTTTTAAATCCACTAGTTTTCGTGGTCCGCTTGACCAATTAATATCTTTCAATTAATTAATTTATTGTAAGAATTTTTAAGTAAATCAGGAAAATGTATTAGGTATATTAAGTGAAGCAAAAAATTAATTGAATTGGAATGTACGTCCATGAACAATAATTTTATCTTTCTCACAGACTTATATGACCTCGAATTCTTTTTTCCCCTTTTTTTTTGTCAGTTTGTCACTAACACAATCTGAGAACCGACAACCAAGCTGACAGCTGTTACAGTTAGACAGGGTAAAACAGCAGAGTCTCCACCAATCTCGGGACAGGTATTTTTGAGGTTAAGCTACCATTCAGTGGACATAGGTACTTTTGAGGTTATGTTGACAATCTCTGAACATGGGTATTTTTGAGGTTATGCTATGGGTCACTGGATGTAGGTATTTTTGAGGTTATACTATGGGTCACTAGGCATAGGTATTTTTGAAGTTATACTATGGGTCACTGGACATAGGTATTTTTGAGATTATACTATGGGTCACTGGACATAGGTATTTTTGAGGTTATACTATGGGTCACTGGACATAGGTATTTTTGAGGTTATGCTAAGAGGAAGGAAGAAACTGCCATCCCTACCATCTTTAAGCAAACCTACCAGACAGAGACAATAGTACCAAGAAGATAAAAAGAATTGCAGCAAAGAGCTATAACCTAATACTTCTTAAAAGAACGATCGAGTCAATTGAACTGAATTAAGGAACTAGGAAAAGTAAAATAAGCCAAAAGGCTTCCTAGTATACCATCAACATCAACTAAACTGAGAACTGACCAGGGAAGAGTCAAAGGCATTCTAAAGAGAGCTGTGTGCATTGTTTGCAATTAGCACTTAAGTCATCCACCATTCATGGAATCATGAGTTATTCTTTCCATGCTGTTCTCTTATCAGAGACATTGAAAAATCTGTGTACTGTCTGTGTCCATTTATTAGAAGTATTTTTCTGAGTAAAGTAAAATAATGCAATGAAGACCGGACTGTCAGCAAGCGATAAACTGTTTATACAGAAATGATAAATGATGGAGTGAGTGTGGTGTTCAATACTTTTTAAAAGGATAGTTCCTACTCACAGTAAGTTGTTTTGCAATGATCCGGATTTCGAGCCTTTTAGCTCATCATCAGGTTGTAGAAGTCCTTCAACCTGATGATGANTCAGCTGATAATTGGAACGTCGCGTTGGCGGAGGTATCAGCGGTTCACTTTGGCAATTCATGTTGAGAGACGTGGTTGTAGAAGTCCTTCAACCTGATGATGAGCTAAAAGGCTCGAAATCCGGATTGTTGCAAAACAACTTACTGTGAGTAGGAACTATCCTTTTAAAAAGTATTGAACTGTTTATACTGTGTGGTTTATCATTGAAAATGCAAATCTGAGTAAATACTGGCCTAAATTGCGATGTTCAAAGTTTATCGCTTGCTACATATGTAGCCCCGCTTTAAACTTAGCATGCCAAAAATTAAATATTAACAGAGACATACAAAAATGAATGGACCTTAATTTGATATAACCGACAATTTTTTATGATTTAGGTTAAAATGCAATTTAGAATAAAATATAAACTATACCAACCCATTTTTTTGGGTAAAAGGTAAACATCAGACTTGTATCTCCCAGTTGGTGCATTGAACAATTCTATTAATGCCAGTGCCTGTAAAATTAATTAATAAAATAATTATTAATTTAAGTATCTTTACCAGCTTATAAATTGTTTGGTTAAAATCATGCCATATTTATTCTATTTTTTCATTTAAAAAATAATGATATTATTAAAAAAACAACAGATAAATACAGATAGATAAAGAGTACTTGGGATAAAAATATTTCTAAAGCTAAAAAACAATATAATAATTAAAAATAATTGAATAAAATTAACCAGTTTTATATGTAAACAATAAAAATAATTTGAGGTTTCAAAAAGAGAATAAAAACAATCCAAGTACTCCATAACTGAGTATATTGTATAAAAATTATATTACCTGAGTAGCTGCTGTGATAGAAACTACAAATGAAGGTAGACTTGAGCAAGAAAGGTTAACTAATCGGCCCTCAGCAAGAAGAACTATTCTTTTGCCATCAGGCCAAATAACATGATCAACTTGAGAACGTACTTTTTCCCAAGTGAGGTCTGGTGTCCGAAGACTATTCTAAAATTAGAAGGAACAAAATGTTTGTAAAAGGAAGGCTAAACATAACAATTTAAAAAATAGATCTCGGCATCTCGGCTCATAGACTCCACGGTCTTGAGTTCAATTGTCACCCTTGGCCTTTTTTTTCAAGCTTCCACTTCCCCAAAAACACAACCCAAAAATATTTGGCTAAAAATAATGCCATTAAAATTAGCCATGAATCCGTGAAATCCACAAGGTTAACATGGCCTAAAGGTTTTTAAGGCCTAGCAAATTAAACAAATTAGACACTGAAACAGCTGATAATTCACACCCATCATAGAATACTTTAATATCTTTAAAATTGGCTATTTGAGTTTGTTGTGCAATTTTATTCAGAAAAGTGCCAAAATTAAGGAACACCACACTAATGTCCATTGGTTGACCACCAGGTAATGGAAAATACAGTATGCCAGTATACTGTTAATTCAACATCCATTGATCACATAGTTGTTGTTACATTGTTACACTTTTTCTTGGAAATTTAGCTTAATCCTTCACTTTGTTGTAGTGTTTTATATTAATGGTATGAATAAAATTCATTAACAAACTTTTACGGACTTGACTTTTACTCCAGGTAACAAACCTCCCGAAGCTACTGGAAAAGCTATGAAGAAGGCCGGAAGATCCAGAAGAACATCACCAAAACAAGAAAAAGGAAAGGAAGAAGAAGGAGACTCTTACAAGGCGATAAGCATCATGATTGAACTCTTTCGTCAATGACATTTTTAAAAGGATCACAGCCAAAGCTTCAAAAAAATCTTGCACTAAAAGAGGTCAACCATCACCAGTCAGGAAATCCAGAACTGCTGAAGCTCCTTTTTCCACAATTTCAGAAGAAAATAATAAACTAAAGGAACGAAGGCAGTGACTGAGTACAGCCCTAGGGCAGCTTATAATTTCAATAAATTAAAAACAATTCAAATCTGCCTGAGAACTACAAACTATAATGCCCAAATTTTGTATAAAAATGGGTTTATTTAGTACAAGTGCCAGTCGAACAAAGTACTTTTAGTAAAAAGCGAAAGGGAAAGAAAAATGTGGTATTCCCATTTTTTTAATAGACCAACCATTAATGACTCGAAAACCAAACAAATTATTGAAAAGCTTTACAAGTCGTTTCTGACAATACTATTTTTTGAAATGTTAAGTATTCCATGATGAATGCGATACAATCTCTCTCGGAGGCACTAAATCCTACTAAATTTAATTCAATAGGTTTAAATAATTGTGTAAAATTCAATGTCTGCGTGTTCACATGGCACCCTAGGTTCCATTCTTTATTCAGTGTACACTGCAGATATTCCTATCAAACATACAGTCAAGCAAACTCAGACCAAGTGGATACTTCTCCACTCTTAAAATTTTATGATATATACAGAATAATATGATATACAGAATAAAATAATTTAAAACAAATTGTTTATTAAGTTATCTTGAAGCAAAAAGGTATTGGAAAAATAGTATTTTCCTTTGCGTCCCCCTGTCTTGCGGGGTAATTGCCTCCTCTACATAATGGCAATAGTGGTTAGAAAGATGGCCACAATTAGTCGTAACCAGTCGTTTGGGTAGTCTTGTGCCATCTACATCCATCCACATACTGGATGGCAATGGGCCATAGTGTTGAAGAACGAATTTATAGTGCATCTCATTTGTGGAAAATGCCTGGAAAAACCGCTTCCAAAGACATACCTTACCACTACAATCGCACCAGCGGTTAGTGCACACCAAACTAACCTTGTCGAGGTTTATGATAAGACATTATGTGTGGAGGGGGCTTCACAGATAGTTCACTTTTATGACTTTCAACTTAAAATTAGTTTAGATAGTAGAGTGATTTAAAACATCTCACGGCTGAGACTTGCAACACAATTTACAATTGAACACAAGACTGTACTACAAGCCGAGTCCGATGCACTAACCACTCTGATACTGCCGTCTTTCTATACAAATGTTACATTTACTGCAATAATAACCACAATCTTCCACACCGAATGATGCAGGAAATAATCTAGTTTAATTTTTTTTTTAATTGGCCAAAATTTTCAAAAATCTACTTCCGGTGCTTAAAACAGCAAATCCTTTGTACCAAACAAAGCAAGAAATAGTTATATAACATAATATATTTCTAATTTACATGCTGTAAAAAATAAAAAAATGGTCAAAATTTATAGAGGTTATACAATAGTCTCTCTAATATAAAGATCACAGAGGAGGAAAGGCTCTTTAAAAATTTTATAAATAAATTCACCAATAAATTCCCATCTCAACCACACCCTTTGAATTTTCCCTCCTTTTTCCCATTTTTCAAATGTCGTGTAATCGGATTGGATTCTCGACGACAAACGAAATGGCCACGGAGAGCTTTAGTGAAGTATATTTTATTTTCAATCATTAAATTCACTAATTTTGTGGTCAGCTTGACCAATTAATATATTACAATTAATTAAGGTTTTTAGTTGAGATAAAAAAATTAATGGCATGAGCTGGATTCGAACCCACGATCTTTGGCTAGATACGCAGCTGCTCTACCACTTGAGCTATCGTGACCTCGATCCACTCTGACATCAACTTCCCATCTCAACCACACCTTTTGAATTTTCCCTCCTTTTTGCCATTTATCAAATGTCGTGTAATCGGATTGGATTCTCGACGACAAATGAAATGCTTTTTAAAAGGATAGTTCCTACTCACAGTAAGTACTTACTGTGAGTAGGAACTATCCTTTTAAAAAGTATTGAACACCACACTCACTCCATCAGTTATCATTTCTACAAATGAAATGGCCACGGAGAGCTTTAGTGAAGTATACTTCATTTTCAATCATTAAATTCACTAATTTCGTGGTCCGCTTGACCAATTAATATANATCTCAACTAAAAACCTTAATTAATTGTAATATATTAATTGGTCAAGCGGACCACGAAATTAGTGAATTTAATGATTGAAAATGAAGTATACTTCACTAAAGCTCTCCGTGGCAATTTCGTTAAGTAAATACTAAGCTCACGGCCAAGAAAAACATCAAATAGTTCTACTCACAACATCTATTTCTGTATTAGAATGTCCCATATTGCAAACAACGCAACCATTTTTCATTTTATCCATGTGTTCCCTTGTCACGACATTCTTGTTTCCAGTTGCAGTGATGACAATGTCAATTGTCCTTATTACTTCATTCAATTTAACAACCCTGAATCCATCCATGCTGAAAGGAAAAAAATCAAAATTTATACAGATTATATTGCAAATATAAAGAGGGAAAATTTCTTAATCATAAACTAACCAGGCTTGAAGGGCGCAAATCGGATCAATTTCAGTGATATAAACAATGCAGCCTAGGCCTTTTAAAGCCTGGCAGCAACCTTTTCCGACTTCTCCGTAACCGCACAAAACTACCTGTTTTCCTCCAAACATAACATCAGTTGAGCGTTTCAAACTGGAAAAAAGAATATATGTATATACTTTATTAAAGTTACAAGTTTTAAATAATTCTCAAAAATATTGTTACCTATCCAAAATGGATTCCCGGCAGCTGTAGAGATTATCAAATTTCATTTTTGTAACTGAATCGTTAACGTTCATGGCTGGAACGGTGAGTTTGCCAGTTTTGGAAAGTTGGTATAGACGGTGGACTCCAGTTACACTTTCTTCCACTATACCTATAATTACAAATAGTTTTTACAAATATAACAATAAATAAATACAGTTTTAAAAAGTACTATTTTTTTTTTATCACCTTTTATAACTTTGAACAATGAAGGATACTTTTTCAACATGAGATGTGTCGCGTCCCCTCCATCATCCAAAATCATATTAGGCTGCCAATTCTCGGCATTGATACATTTGTCTATACACCACCAAAAATCTTCTTCTGTCTCACCCCTCCATGCAAATATCGGGAATCCTGAAAATTAGACAACAGTTGAAAAACTACACCGAATTACCATTTAAATAACATTACTTTTCCAAAGTTTCAACCAATACTCTTAACTATCAACTCGTATCAAGATCGAAGTTTTTCTGAATAATAAAAAATCAATTAGAATCCGATAACGAACCTTTTGATGCAATAAATTCATCAGTCAAACAGCAAATCTTTAACTCTCTTAAAACTTTTGAAAAAAAGTCAGAAGTAACAGTGAACAGGGAGAGTTATAACTAAAACACTATGACTTTATTAGCGATTTTAAAACAAAATACATTACAATAGCACCATACTACATTGCAAATAAGAAAAATGGTGCAGAAGAGGAAATATTAGACACCTTAGGGTAAAGACACCCACAGAGGTTTGACCAAAATGTTAACAAGAAAAACCGACTCAGTGAGTTGTCCATAGTTGTAGCACTGTGCTGACACAGCTATTGGTTTTAAATCAAGTTGGGAATGGATGACCCTACAAGTCAACGGAAACGCCGCATTCAGGAGTTGCACTGTATTTAGTCAGCCCTAAAACACGCGGTATTTCTTTGAGCGATTCATACCACCACTTTTTAGAATTTTAATTTTATATTTTATTTAGTTCCAAAATGCAAAAGGCACAATTGTGGAAAATTTATCAGCAGGGTTGAAAATCCTACTTTAAGGGGCATGAGAACCACCGAATACATTGACTGAAAGAATATCAAGAAGAAAAGACATTTTGAGGGATACTAGGAAAGAGAACTTAACAGAAAGAGCGTGACATTAATTGTTTAAAAAATTGGCAAATTTATTTAAGATTGTTTTCTCTTCCTCTTATAAAACTGTCCGCAAAAATTTCCTACAATTGGCAGTTATTCTCAACTCTAACATTTCCACCAATTGTGATTAATAAAGTTGAATTCTGTCTTGTAGCTCAAGACAATTTCAACTATTATACAGAAATTGTGAGATGCGGTCTAGTGACTAGACCGCATCTCACGATTGCTGAATAATTATCGATTAATGGTCACTAATCACCACACAATTTCGACTGTTGACATATTTACAACCTATCTCAAAAGACTCATATGTTGGAGCACTTGTATCTCAAGGTAACACTATATTGCATAATTTGCATATTAGAAGAATAATGTAAATTTGAAACGTTTTTGATTACTTTAAAAAAAAGGAAAAAAGAAAGGAGGGAGAGAGGGAGAGGGAGAGGGAGAGGGAGAGAGAGAGAGAGAGAGAGAGAGAGAGAGNGAGAGTGAGAGTGTGCGAGAGAGAGTGAGAGAGTGAGAGAGAGAGAGAGAGAGAGAGAGAAAGAGAGAGAGAGAGAGAGAGACTAGGAACATCAGAGGAAAAACCTAAAATTTGATTGGGCTTTCAGTTAATATTCCAAGAACGAAGGCATAACCCAACTGACACAATAAAAAAATATCTTTTATTTGAGCCTCCTATATACAAAACTTTCAGGTGCAGTTTTTTGCCTTTCCTAAATAATTACATTTTCTAATGTAGTCACACAGTGAAAATAGGGGCCTCATTTGATACAAAAATATTCAGTCTCAGTTCTCTTTCATATTTGCATACCTAGTAAACCTACAAGTAGTAGTTATAACAAGATAGTCTATTGTTTAATATATTTGATTTTACGTGAGTAGATTTAGAAATAATGCTATATTTTACATTGGGACCGACATTGGAAAAAATTCATTAAAGTAGTTTGCTTCATATATATACATGAATACTCTCTTTTCTACCATAATTTCCTGATTAATTTGGAACAACAATATTAATAGTTTGCTCATTGACATTTTTGTCATTAGTTAAGTCTCTAATTAATTCTCAGACTTTTTTATAATTAAGGCTATTTGATTTAATTTAGCCTTTATAGTAATTATACTTTGCTTTTTTATAATTTTATTTAATGTGTTTCAATATTAGGAATAAAATAATTTTAATGTTTTATTGCTACGGTGTTTCACTGTTTTTTCGATGGTATAAGTCTTATTTTCTAATATAAGTAATAATTTTTGTAATTCATTCCTAAATTTTAATTAATTTCTTTTTTGGTTTTACAAATACCAATAATATAAATAATGTATAAAACATCCCCAATAGAAAAATATATACATATACCTGCTTCAGCCAAAGCAGCAGCAACTTCATTCTAAACAAACAAAAAATAATTATTAAATAAATTGAAATTATTTTGAATTTAACTGGAAAAAAATATATAATAATCAAATTACCTGGGTTGAATAAATGTTACACGCTGACCACCTGACTTGAGCACCTAGTTCAACCAAAGTTTCAAGTAGAACAGCTGTCTGTGCATTGATGTGAGAGCAGCCAACAATTTTTGCTTGTTTCAAAGGTTTGTCTTCAACCGCTCTTTTTCGAAGGGCCATAATACCGGGCATTTCTGAAACAGAACAATCGCATAGATAAAATATAATAAAAATATATTTTTATAATAAAATTTTATTAAAATATAAAATATTATAAAAGGATATAAATAATAAACTCACCTTGTTCAGCAATCTCAATTTCCCTTCGCCCGAAGGCGTGCTCTTTGATATTTCGAACACAGAAGTCACTAAATCCTGATGAAGATTTTTGATCTTTTTGACGAGGTGAAACATCATCTTCTTCAGAGCTGCTACCAGTGTAAGATGCTATAAAAAGCATAAACATAATAAAAAAAATTCAACACAAAAATAAATGTATTTAGTTTTGAATAGTTGCCTATAACGGGGAAAAAATTATATGGTTATTGCAATTAGGTATTGGGTCAAATGAGTAATTTTAAACTGAAAAAGTGGAATTTCTCTATACGGTTTGTGGTGTGATGAATCTATAGTTTGGTCTGTCTGATTGATTGGTAACAGCCCAACTAAAAATTTTAAACTTGCCATAAATTTAAAGATTATGTAAAAAGTTTGGCTGTTACCAATCAACCTCGTCTGCCTGACATATTTCAGCATTTCTCTTTCTTAATGATATACCAAAATAGAAAATACAGGCAGTCCAGGATGATCAGAAATTAATCAATTACAGGTTAAGCGCTCACTTGCACAAATGGAAATTAAATATTGTGCCCTTGTGAAAACAAAATAACGTTTTTCCATAATGGTCGAGAGGAAGCATTTTTATGATATGATTCTAGTTCACCTTTCCAGTCTGATTTTTTGACACTAAAATGCGTTCCCTTCATAAAGGAATGTGTAGCAACAGTTTATATAAAAAATTTGTGATAAATTATAGTTCAAAGAAACGTGATTGATCATTCCAATTGTCAGGAAGTGTAGTGCCCTGTCAGCTACAAAATATTCTAGCTGGCAAATTGTTGACTGAACGGGCATGGTATGCTACTGTGTTGACTGCTGGTGAGAGAATGGTCTGATGGGCATTTTCCAATATATATTGGAAAGCATATTTCTTTCCATGCGACGATTCCATCATTCCTAGTATGATACATGGGCCTACATGCCTACACCTTAAGGCCCCTAAAAAAGTAAAAAATTACAAGGATGAGATAACTCGTCACTGGACCTAAAGAGCATACAACCTCGGACAAGATATTTCATTGCTAGTCCTGAAAATGTTAAGGTTCTTTACTGGATAAACCAGATGTCCACTGCGCGAATGGGCATACGGGTTCAGATAACCAATAATCCTCAACTCATCATTTCACAACTTTATGCCCAGTCCAAATAAAGTAGGGAGATGTATAATAGTCTTTTCATTCATGTTTTTTTTTAATATAAAATGAACATGGTATTTAATCGACCAATACCAACTTCTTGAACCTATATCACAAAAATGGAACTAAAAATGACACTAGGAGGGAAAATGAATTTTTAAAAACTAATAAGATTTTTGATACTGTATTGTTGCACTGTTTTGCAAAATTTGGTTCAAATGAGGAATAATCTCAAATCCAGACCTGCATTTACTTTAGTCCTGTATTTATATTTTATCTGGGCCGTTCTACAATAAAAATTGTCTTTCTTGAAAGTTCCCAGTATTATTCATTTATCCCAGAGTTTAGCCCAAAAAATGACATGGTTCAAATTTTATCATTGAAGATGACTCTTTAAGCGGGGGAACACACTTACCCGACCGAAGCAATGGAAATTTTTGACTTCTTAAAAAATATAAAAATCCTTATGTAAAATTAGAATTTAAAAAGATATCAAATCATTTGTTTTTAAATTTATTTTTTTATAATTTTATTTTAATTGTAATTAAAAGTTAAAAGTAAAGTGGTATTTTATTTTTCTCAAATTAAAAGAAGAATCTTGTATTTTTATATTAAATTTTATATCGTTTTTAATTTTAATTGCAATTCGTTTTCACATGGACTTCTAAGAGTCCATTTAATTTGTTTAAAAAGAAATATATAATATACAGAAATTTTACTAAGTTCTTGTGAGTTTTTTGGTGCTTTAAAGAAAGGGTTAATTTGAAGTTAGAAGTTAAAAAGGGTAAATTTCATGTAAAACTAGGTTACTTTGATATTTAAAGTGGTTAATTTGGAGTTAAAAAGTGTTCATTTGAAATTTTAAAGGATTAATTTATTGGAATATAGCTATTTATTTTTCCTTATATAACAGCTATGAATTTCTCTTAAAACCAATGATATTATATATATATTTTTAAAAAAGTGTTTAATATTTTTTAGGCTAGTTTCAAATTTTTATCTTTTTTTTGGAGAAAAGTTAAGCAGGGAATAATCCAACGCTTTTCCATAAGATTGTATTACCCCCATGCACATCTGCCCAACGCCATGCAACGCTACCCTACTCTATGCTACTTGATGCAACCAAGTTCCGTCCAGATTTTCAGTAAGTCGAAGACAAAAGAACCGGACACTCATATTTCTATTTCAAACTATATGTATTATTGTCGTTATATTAATTACAACATAATTATTTTAATATAAACCAAATTACGGGAGATCAAAAATTCATTAGTTTTTATTTAAGAAAATTAATTTTAATGGATTGGCAGAAAATTTAACAAAACACCGGAATACAAGTTTTCCTACCATTCCAGCCTGTTTAAAATAATTCAAGGGATTATCCTCACCCTGTTATGAGCCGGCCATGCTAAGGACTTTTGAATCCGGGCTATTGACCAGCATGTAGAGAGGTTGCTTGATGTTTATTTTGGCCCTCTATAGAGAGCGTGTAGGAAATGCCAAATGATTGTGCTTTGGGGCCCGATTTTTGGAGGATTCAGAGCTGTTTTATCTCCTTTTTTTCTCATTTTTTGCATATTGAATGTATTTATTAGCATGAATAGTGCAAGAAGGCCAATGATGAAGCCAAAACACCAACAATTTAATGCCAATATTGAGAGACACACAATTAGATTAGTTATATAGTCTAAAGGGTGATAAAGGAATATCAAATATTTGAGTTACTAGACCTAGCTGTTGATAGCTGTTCGACCCTAACTTCGGTGGCCGGACGAATAAGACTAAGGTTGCACCGAAGACTGTCAATACTCAAAGTGGGTGATATTCGCAGCATGTGAGAGGTCATGCATATGTACAATTGAAGTAACACATATCAATCAATCGATATACAACTTCTCCATTTTGAGTATAACATTTTATAACTAGTTACGAACAAAAATAATAAACGGAAGGTATGCTAATTTGTTAAAAGGATATTTTTACCTGAACTATAAGAATCAGTCGATGATGCTGAGAGAGAACGACTCCTGTATCGGCTGGATTTTTTTAAAGCACTTGATGACTTTGTTTCCTGCTGCAGAACAAAAACAAAAAAGGTAAGATTAGACAAAAAGCTTTGTCATATACGTTAATAAGGTTAACATCTTTATCAGGCTCAAAAATGTATACCAAAACCAAACTATACAATTCAATTATTTACCAAAAAGCTGAGAAATATTATGAGTAAACAGCTGTTAAAAGTGAAAGGCAATTCAGTAAGCGGCTTGCAACAATTTATACGAAGTGAGAAAGCCCAAACACCTTTTTTCTTATTGTTTTCTTTTTTTTCATGCTACAAGAGCAATATTACAATAACTGATAAATGCAGCTATTATGAAAAATCATAATTCCATCATAGTCCACACCATTTTAAGTATGATAACACACATGTAGGACGGCACTAATAAAAAATAATAAACCCTAAAACAATAGCTTCACAAACACGTGGTAAATGTTCTGAGTAAAGCAATTTCGAAATAACCATATTTTAGTTGTTTACAACTTTAAAAAACCTGAATTTCCCAACTCAAGTGACAAAACAAGAATAACACTTGGAACTATTGTTAATACTGTTAGGATAACTTGGATAGTTATATTTACCATTTTTCGTTGGCCCATAAAAAGAGTTGTCCCACCATCAACTGTCTGTAAAATATAAAAATATGACATCAGTCATCAAACTTCACACCTACTTTTTTAACAGTACAATGATTTTTATTTGAACTTGATAGAAAGCTGAATTGACACATTTTTGTTACATAGATTTTAAATTTGGAATAACGTGTGTGTTTGCTCTACTTAAGCTATGCTAAAATTCCCATTTAAATTACAATAAAAAATAATATTAATACCACCCTATTACATTTAGAGTGAAAAATTTTAACAATTTATTGCATATTTAAATAATACAATTTTTTTTACACAATTTACATAATAAAACTTTTTAATTATTAAAATCACAGAAATTGCATCACTAGCCATATCCATTTATACGTTAAACCTTTCTAGCATAGTCAATATTGTAAATTCACAACTTCTTATATGAACCATTGCAATAATTTTGTAAAATTAATTTCAATTTTTTTTCCAGTAATGTTGCATATTAACAATTGTACTGACAGTCAAATAGAATGTGTTTATATATTTGTTCTCCTGAACATGATTACGTAATGACAGAATTATGAGATGATTTAACAAGCAGCAAATTGAAAAGATGAACGAAAAAAGCATATATTATACAAACAAACCCAATAAATGTGCCAATAACAAACAGCACTTTATAACCATGCAATATACACATACATGCAATTAACATTAGAGGTTTAGTGAAGAAAATCATGCACTGCTCATTCCAAAATCAAGCAAACAAACAACACCCTTAAATCATTGAATATTATCATTCAATAATACTTATAATTACAATATAACATTATATTTAAAAGGGATATTAAAATAATATACTATATCTTCTGGGTTCAAATTCTGGCATTTTTTTAGAATATGAACAAATATGAGAAAACTTGTGCTTCATAATCACATATTTTCTCCATTTCTTGGAAAAAACATTGAATCATTGACATAATCATCTAACCTAACCTGTTCCAAATCTAATCCTAAAACTAAGCCTACCTAGCCTAACCTAACCTATATTCCTTTTTCTTTGTCATGTCAGAATTTGATTTCTTTTTATTTGTCTTTCCATAATTTGTCAACGATTGACAATCTAAAAGAAAAATGAACTATGCGACTACATTTCACATCATCAAATTCTCACTCCAAGAAGACTAACCTAACCTATAGTTCTTTTCATTTGCCTTACAGGATTTGTTTTTTGTTCATTTTGTATGACTTTCCACAATCTGTCAACGGCTGACAAACAGAAAGAAAAATCAACTATTGGACTACATTCTACCAAACACTTCAAAGAATACTAACCTAACCTATCCTAAACCTACATTTCCTAACCTAACCTAACCCATTCTAAACCTATTTAACCTATATTTCTTTTTCTTTGTCTCACCATAATTTAATTTTTTTTCCATCTTTTTATGATTTTCAACAATCGACAAACAAAAAGAAAAATGAATTATTTGACTACATTCCACATCATCAAATACTCAATCCAAGAAGACTACCTAACCTATAGTTCATTTTATTGGCTTTCCAGGATTTCTTCTTTGTTTGTTTTGTATGTATTTCCACAATTTGTCAATGATCGACAAACTAAAAGAAAATGAACTATTTGACTACATTCCACACATCATCAAATAGTTCTGAGACTAACCCAACGCGCATACACTCCTCAGAAACAAAAAATGGATATAATGAAAATGGTAACACTAATAAAAAGGTGCATGTCTAACACAAAAGCACTATCATGTTTAAAGAAAGTATTCGTAAAGTTCTCATCTGCGACACTGTTAAGCCTTCCAGTATGACAGGAATTTCTTAACATTACAAGCTTAATACATTTAAATTTTGTTACACAAATTTCCCACCTGAACATTCTCAATTCATCCTGTTTTGTCATTCGCACTGGGGATTTTCTATTAGACACCACCAAAGATAGTGAAATCGTAACACATCATACAGTATGAGTACAAGCAAACCAGGATGATTAGGGGATCAAGGTACAAGTTTAACACACCATAGGCCTCACCACGTTTCACAACAGAATAATTTGAAGATACATAACATACTTCAGCACAGGGAATCAATACAGGCACGCAGTCAATGTGATCTGACTCATATTTGCAAGGTTAATAGTTCTGGGTTCGAATCCCAATATAGCCTATAAAGGACTGTCATATGAGTTATAAAGAGAAAATTAAAATCTGTTTAACTTGACCCGCTTTATCACGTGATATTTAATCATTACAATTTGGTCATTATTAATCACCGTAGTCCACCTATCCTCACTATATTGGTCTGTTAGACATTTTTTTAGGCATTTCATCATGTTCAAAGTTGGGTCTGTGTGATTTCTGTGAAGTCAAGTCTCTTCGGTCATGATGGGTGAAATGTTACTCTTATTTTGAAAACGTCGAAAAGCTGAAACGCATCTGAAATTCTAGCCCAGCAAGGACTGGCAGACCAAAATAATCATTAATGACAACATTTCAAATAAAATATACATCAAAATTTGAAAATCGGACTGTAAAAAAACTAAAGAAAATTAGATTTGTGTTGTCATGTAATACGAAGAAACTGTGCTGTATCTTTTTGATCTGTACAATATTTAAATGATATTCTACAAAACCATATTCAATATAAAAGTTAAAAATAAAATAAATAATGAAAACAGAAACTGGTTGAATTATGATGAATAAATGCAATGCATGTATGCAATAAGGAGTATGTGCACAAGAAATACCTAAAAAGGTGCACAGACATATAAATTCTCAGAGAGCCAAGCAACAATGAAACCTCTAGTTTCAACTTAAAGTTGGCCTGGGAATGCCCTAACATGGCTCCAATTCCTGTACAACAAAATCAAGTAACTTTAATGTTTGTGTTAGTACGCAACACGATTGACATCACACTTTTGAACAGAACCACAAATTCTATTTCTATCTCGACTATGAAAACAAAAATCTACCTCTCCCTTAACAGCATATTTTTCAAAAATATAAATAAATAAACTGAGACAGAAACGATTGTGCCATAAAATAGCAGACATCAAAACATGTGTGACTGCCAAACGTCAGTCTAGAAACAGCCACTTCAAAAAGCACACTCTAACTAAGGAAATAGTGAGGAGGAAGAATAGAGCAGGATAGAAAGAATGGGTATGGATATAAAAATGAGTTAATTCCACAATATTCTTTTAGGCCACAGTGGAAAAAAAAAGAGACTATCATCATCAGTGACCCCGGGGGGAGGGGAATTACCAAAGTAGATAAATTATATCATTATATTATTGCAAACATTTCAAGGATAGACATCAGAAATATAACTTATCTCAATATTAAAAAAAATGTCAGATTTTAACAATTTTAACAAATCACCATTGTATTAATAATCAGAAAGAAAAAATAAGAAATCCCCTATCAAATTTGAATAAGAAACTATTATAAACATTGAGATAATCTTGAATAAATATAGCTATTGTGTTGAAAAAGAAAATAAATATTTCTTCCGATAGTGTGAACTGTTATTGTTAGAATTTTATAAACACTTTTAAAAAAGTAATGATTAATGTTGAAAAAATGAAAAGCCTAGAGATAAAAAGGAATAAATTTCATGATTTCATCTAGGAAAGTTGAGATTTTAACAACAGAAGTTGAAAACATCAGATTTCGTGATAAATATAAAGCTTTACTGTCCGGTCCAAACAATTTAATAGAAAAAGACCAAAATTAAATTAATCAATTTTTTAAAATAATTGATTAGTGTTTAGATTAAATAAATTTAATACATGAAATATTCAAATGGTTCCGCTGATATTTTTATTAAATACATAATCAACCTACTGGGTTGTAAAATAAGTCCTAGTGTTTTGTAATGACAAATTCAATGAAACGTTTAGATACTTGTAAGCTAATTTAATCAACAATATACGAACAATTTTATTCCACTGCCTGTTGCTGTTTTTCATGCAATTAAATACTACCAAAACTTCTAAGGTTTTCGAGGAATGAACTCTTGGATGTGTTTTCTACAGTCCTCAAGTGAAGAGTCCAGAATAAGTTGAAATCTGAAGGAGCAATGTAAATGAATTAGCACATCCCAGCCAAGTTCTAACAATTTCTGGCATGTCTGCAAAGACACATGGGGCGGGCATTATTCTCGTGGAAAAACTACCTTTGCAGTTAGCCAATCCCAGTTGTTTTTGGTCAATTGCTGACTTTCACCAATTGTGTGCTGTATAAACTAGAATTAACGGTTTAGATGGGCGGAAGAATATAATAAAGCACCACCTTCATACCCCACAAAATGCACATTACTTTCTTGGGATGTAATCCGATTTTTGGAGTTGTTAATGGTCATTTTCGCCAGGATTTTCTTCAGACCCACATTTTTGTTCAGACCCAATTTTCATCCCCGGTTATCACTCTTTTTAAAAAATAAGTCATTTATATGAAGTTTTAGGAGGGAATTGTAGAGATGCAGTCCAACAAATTCTTTTCTTCTAGATCTCTTGAGAAAAGGGATATGCTAAGTCTCTATGTTGTCTCGTGTCGTTGAGTTTGAGTTATTTGTGACAAAAGTCTGAATTTGGTCATCAGCAATGGTTGAAGGACGATCAGAACTCCAAATTCCAAATAAAAAATTTCCCTTTTGAACTGATCAAACCCCAAAGGGTAGTGCTTTGTCCTTCAAACATCATCACTGTATATATCAAAAATTTTCCTAGCAGTCTAAGATAGTCTGAGCTGCAGTTTTCCCTTTGCAGATAATAAAAAAAAAATTAAATGTCGAAAATGCATTATTTTTTCTTTCATTTTAAAATAGCAAAACACCTCATAAAAATACAAGATCTGGAGCAAAACTAACCAATAAAAACACCTTCATTAACACTTTTTCCAAGAGTGTAAATAATTGAAGGGGGGAATTATTTATTATTTTATAACCTAATATATATAAAAAATTAATCCTTGAAGCTTTGAAGTAAACGGCAATGTGGGATGCCAAGGGTGCAGTCAGGTAGTTTTTCTTTCTTGTTTTCACAAATTGTAAAGAGTAAGGAACTCCACTCACATGTTACAATTAAAATTTGAAAAACTGGTGTAATGAATGGCATGAATTTGATCACAATAAATGGAGTAAAATTAAGAGGGGGTTCACAATGGTCCTCTGCCTTTTGAAACTCCTGTAGGGAAGAAACTAGTCTTGACACACCTAAGAATAGGTCATTGTAGGCTTACCCATCGATTCCTCATAGCAAGGGAAACTGCTGTCAGGAAGGCCCAAGCACATACTAATTAGATTTTTTGTCAATTTGAGAGTACGTTTGGTATTTCTGGTAGTTTGGGTCAAATATTGCCTAATGAGGGTCGTGGTTGACACTTTGAGTATGAAGGGCTCCTGAGAGTACACATCAATTGCATTAAAACCCTTGACAGGCTGTAATAAAATCCCAGGTTCAAATCCAGCGGCCCTCGATTCAAACCTGACATACTTACTAATTTTTTTTTTCTTTCAAAAACACCAGCACCTTGAGGGTTCGTGCAACTTCGAAGTTGAAATATCTAATTAAAAAAGAAAAAAATGGCAATGGTGCCACCATCAACTTCAAGAATTTATTTTAAAAAATGACGTTTTAATTCAATGTGTTCAAAAACACAGTTGAAGCTAAAGCTTAAATAATGCTAAGGAATTAAACAGAAATTTGCAGGCATAATAATCAAATGACAAGACAACTGACATTGCGACCAATTTGGAAAATATCAGTTGAAAAAATCTATAAGGGTAATAAGTAAAAGGCATTATTGTATTGTTTGTATGCTTCTTTAACTTACATTAGACAAAAAAAATCATAAACTTGAATAAAACTGTAGTGCAAAAAAAATGTAAAAAACATGCTAAACATGCGCAAGACAAACAGAGCCACCTACAATAGTATAACTGCTAATTGCTTTTAATAACACAAACTTATGGGAGATTATATGCTTATCAAAGGTTTCAAAGCCTACTTTAATCGATTAATTTAATAAAATGACGGCTCAGAATGAACTGTTCTTCTCCGCCCACCAGCCCCCCCCCAACCAAACAAACAGGGATCAGGTAACAAATGCGATTAAAAATTGAGAAGCCGGAAAAAATGAAGTAAGAAAAAATAAATAGATAACATTATTGTCAGTTTTATGTATCCATTTATGTAGGGTAAACCAACACATGGTATTTTGCATTATCGAATTTATTATTAGAATACCATTTTATTTCATACATCAAACAATAACAACAACAAACAAAAATATATATAGAAACAACACTACTGCTTACTTTAATCGAGTGCGTTCTTTTGAAGTGCAGTTGTCGTTGAGTTAGGAGCTATAATTTCGATTAAAAAAAAACTAAACTGTGAAATTATAGTTTACATGGAGGGATTAATTGGGCAAATGGACAAATAGACAAAGTTTCACCAGTGGAGTAAATAAAAATTAAAAATTATTCAATTTCATTAATTGCCCCTAGCTGATCGTTTCAATTCAAATCATCATCAATCAATTAAAATTGATTAGAGTGAAACTAAAACAGCTGCTCTGGCATATTCATTAATAGATCATTCCATATTTTAAGCTTTATAATATTTTTTTTATTATGTATAAAAAATTGTATGATATCTGCAACCCTTGGGGCAAATATAAGTATATCAAGTATATCAAATGTATAATATATAGTAGATCATCCCATAGCTTTGTAATTTTTTTACATATAAAAATGGTATATCTCCACCCAAGGAGCAAAATAATATACATATACACCAACACTCTCATATCTTATTTATTTATTTTAGAGGAATCCATTTTCATCAATGGCAGTATTCACTTTCACCACTAGGCCTAAAAAGTAATCGTAATATCTTTAAGTACTTATTTAATTTTAACCTATCCAGCTTTGCTCCAAGGGTGCAGATATATTGCTCTCAAGATCAGGCCGAGCAGCCCCATAAAAATGTCACATCTAAAAAAGTCAGAGAATGCATTCGAAATCTACGAAGACTCTCGTCTAAAAATCTTGGGTGCTGGGACATAAAAGAATTTGGGAAATGAAATGTAGGCCAGAGGAGGATCTGCAAGACCATATATAGACCAAGAACTTGGAATGATAAATCAAACATAGGCCCGACCATCACAAATGGGGAAACACCAGAGGTGACAGACACTAAACTTATGATTAAAAGCCCTCTCCAAAACTGACTAACACTATAGCTAGGTAGGGGAGTAATACGACTACCGGTGCCTGGCATCCTCCTTCGCAAGAAGATTACACTATGAGGAGGAAAAAACCTGCCACCTATATCATCTGCAAAAGCAAATCTAGGGTACCAAAAAGGCCCAGGAAAAATAATTACTGCATGACAACTAATGACCTACTTCTCTAGACAAGGTTTGAGTCAATTGATATGAAATAAGGAACTAGGAAAAGAACAATAAGCCACAGGCTACATTAGAAAAATATCTGCTTTTGTAGTATTCACTAGGTCATAATCATTAAAGATGTTCCAATGTCACTGGTTTCTCTTGACAGAGTCGGCATGTATCAGCTTTGACAATCCTCTTTAGACGGTAGTTAAGAGGGCAGTAGCTGGTGTGGTATAAAGAAAAAATATTAAAAGATAAAGATAAAAAACAAATTTAAGGGAAATTATAACCTCAATTTTTTTTAAAGCCATTTTCCCTTGAGTGAGAGGGCTGCCCCTACTTTGGCTAGCCTCCTTTAGGCTCCTTTGGCTACCCTGCTCCCTTCTATGTCTTCGTGACTCAGAATTTATTTCAAAGTAATCTTGTGTTTTCCTAGGGCCATTTAGAAACCTGGTTTATTATTCTCTGAGAGAAATTCTCCGTTAAGAAGAGTAACTTTAAGTAGGCTTAAGCTCATTAATTTAAGCATTACCAGACTAGTTTGGAGAGGGGGAGAGGTCAAATAAGGATTCCAACCATAACTCCACTAAGACGTATAATAGAACACCAAAGATTATGACCATACTGCGGAAATTGAATTTTTTCTAACAAAACTAAGCACTTCCTCAGTGTCTCTTGGCATACCCTTAGTGTCAGAACAGCCTTACCGCACTGGCTATACGTTTCCTAGGCTAATGCTTTAAATTCACAAAAGATATGTGCCGATGTTGCTGGTTTCTTTTGACAGAGCTTCTGCAAAATAATTTCAGTGATGGGTTTGAAAATTGATAATTGATGAAATGATGTTCAGACTTGCTTTTTGAGGAGGTCAAATAAAGATTCCAACCTATTCTACATTGCTAGCTAACATGGAAACCCTTAAGACGATGACCATACTACGGAAAGCGCACTTGATCCAACAAAACCAAGCACTTCCCTGGTGCATTTTTTGCACTCTTCTCATGGTGTGAGAATTGCTTTACAAAAGTGGCTGTACCATATCCAGGCTAATGCTTCACATTCAGAAAATATGTGCCAATGTCTCTGGTTTCTTCTGATAGAAAAAGCATTTCAGCGCAATATCATCAGTGGAGGGTTTGAGATTTTATGATTGATGAAATGATGTTCCAACTTGATTTTTTAGGAGGTGGGGTAAAATAAGAATTCCGACCATTTCACATTCCTCTGTGCATCTTCGCATACCACCCATGGTGTGAATATTGCCATATTGTATCGGGGCTAATGGTTTACATTCATAAAAAATATGTACTGATGTCTCTGGTATACCCTGACAGAATAAAGTATTTTGGCACAATAATGTTTTCACTATTGCACTCTTTTTGCTACTGAACTCAATAATTATTAGGACATTAACTTCAGTGGTGAGTTTGGGATTTTATGAAATGATGTTCCTCCTTGTTGATTTTTAGGAAAGGAGGGGTCAAATAAGAATTCCAACCTTTTCTCCGCTGCTACCTATTGTGAAAACCCTATGATTAAGGGTTATTAGTTATGAAGACTAAGATTAAAGCTGACAAAATTAAGCACATTCCTCTGTGCGACTTCGCATTCCACCCACGCTAAGAGAATTGTGATACCAAAGTGGCTGTATCGTATTACTGCACAATAATCTCATCTCTATCCTATCGTGGATTTATGTCGATAAACTGTTAAAGTCTGGTTTCGACTGACAGAGTAAAGCACTTCGTCATACCATCAATAATGCGTTGATGGTTTCCAACTTGATGAATGTTGAAAGGCTGATCGTGGGCCAAAATGGAATGCTTTTAATCAAATATTTGCCAGATGATACAATAAATGCTAAATATCATTTTGAACGTTGGCAAGCTGAAGACAACAATAAGCCATGCACAAGTAGATAATCAAAACATCAACTGGTGGTTTTATTTTGATTTTTAATAGAAAATAATTGTTTATTTTGCCGGTAAGGACTTTTTCGTCCGAGGGCGATAACGTAGAACTGATAGCGTCGAACGTGCACTGGATGACATTTAAGAAAGCGAAAACCAGTTTTTTTTTTTTTTTTTTTTTTTTAATTTTTTTTAAGGACAACTTTTAATCCGCATTTCGGCTTATTTTATTGGACATGAGTTACGTAACGAGGCGGTTTGCATTTATTTTTTATTTTTTTTAAGGGAAATTTTAAACAAGAGCGAAATGTAGGAAAAGGAAACGGGTGAATGAAAAGTTTGAAACGCGCCGGTGGGAAGATACGAAAAAATCTGTTTTTGACGTGACTGTTTATCGATTGACGCACGGTTGAAAAGCGGCGGGACGGGAAGAGAAAAAAAATGGGAGAAAAAATACGATTATTTGAAATATTTTGTGGAAAGAAATGCCGTGTTCTGCCACGAAACGTCTCCAGGCCGGGAGGAAACAGCGGATTAAAACCGAGAATATTTTTAATCTTGACGATCTTAAAAAAAAAAATAATAATAATACTAATAATAATAGAAAAGAAAAGAAGAAAAAACGGTATATGGGACTTCGGGAGATTTATCCGTACGGCGGCGTTTGACATGAGACGTGTGACTCGACGTCGGAACAGCCGCACGAATCTCGTCTTCCGTTCTTCGCGACGAAACCGACAAATAATTGAAATAACGTAAAAAAAAAGGACTGACCTTAACGGCTGATCCTGGATCTGTGACTGGGCTATCGGAAACGGTAGTCGGATTAGATTTGGTCACACCTAAAGCAGGATAGTCCATCGTTTCTTCCCCTGCCATACTCGGATCCAGACGGTGTTCCCTTCACCGAACAGCTGCTGCTCTCATTCTGCCCACTGCCCCCCCTCCGGCAGGTCGATCGGCGTACGGAACATCGTCCAACCGTCGGAATTATTTTACTCTTTTCACTCGATCCATCCAAAAACAAGCCCGCCCAAAAACAAAACATCGAACTACGTAAAAATACGTTTTATTTCCGATTAAAAAACCTGACTGGTTATTATCTACCGCCATTGATCCAAACAACCTACATTCCTGTTTTTCTTTTACTCTCATTATTTACTACCATATTCAACAATTTTCATTTTAAAATATTAAACATAACAATTATACATTAAAACAACATGATCCTAGCTGAAAATTGGCTCTATTGAACAAGCTGAGTCGAAATTTTTAAATTAAGGAGGGGGCGCTCAAGGCCCTCATTTCGCACGAAGTTTCACGTTTAAATAACTAAATTTAAAAACTAAACAAAATCCTTTATATAATTTATTCTTCTGACCTACCTTCACACCCCAATATTATCATTACCACCTACATACAACTATTTTGTCCTCTAGCACGAACCCTACCCAACCTAACTCCAACATGCAAAACACCTTGAGAGTGAACGCTGGTGTAAAAAGTGGTGGACAAGATTAAAAAAATGTAAAGAAAACACAGTCTAACCCTACACTGTCCATCAAAAACAAAGAGATACTGATTTCCATTCAAGTCAAATACCTAGGACTATACGTAGACAGCAGACTGACCACTATACTTAGACAACTTAAAAGAAAACTTGGACATCTTAAATAATTTCTAGGACCAAAATCTGTCTTGACCGTCAACACTAAACCAACCTTACACAAGACTTTACTGCGACTATATCGGAAAAACGGTACGGAACTCTGCAGTTCTACCAAGCCATCCAACATCCGGCGAATCCAATCCTTCCAATCAAAAGTCCTCAGACAAATCGTCAAAGCTCACTAATCAAAACGAACTCAACATTCCTTCGTGGTACATTCAGAACTAATATCCCTACAATATGGCACTCGATCCGTCCTACTTTCTTGGTTCTATATATAGAAAGCGTGTATGAATGCCACCTGATGTGAGAATTGTGCTTGAGCACGACAGTGTTCCTGTTCTGATTTTTGTAGGAAGCAGGTCGGATTTATCGTACATAGAATTTTGTAGATATCTCGGTTTTGTATTTCCTTTTGGGCATATTGAATGAGTTTATTAGCGTGAGTAGTGTGAGAGGACAGATGATGGACCCTACAGACACTCAATTGCAATAGTTATGTAATATGTCCCTACAATATGGCATGTAGAGAAAGGTTACTCGATTTGCCCCATTTTCTTGGCTCTACATGGTTAGCGAGAGCGTAGGAATGCCACTCTGTATGAGAATTGTGCTTGAGCACGGTACCGAGTATCTGAGTCTCCTGTTCTGATTTTTGTAGAAAGCAGGACGGTTTTATCGTACATAGTACTTCGTAGATATCTCAGTTTTGTATTTCTTTTTGTTTATATTGAGAGTGAATGTATTTATTAGCGTGTGTTGTGTGAAGGGGCAGATGGTGGAATGTTGAGTGCCCCATTGACTTTCAATTGGATTAGTTACATAATTTTTAAAAATAAAATATTTATTACCAGCTGTACAATTACATATTTTGTAATTTTTTGGAATATTATACCTATTGTTTACAACTTACTATGTCTTGAGGGGAGTTAGCAACTATTGTTGTTCTTCAAACTTTACGCAAGGGCGAAGAGGTCCGGGGCCATTTCCGTCTGCTGGGATTGTTGTATGATGTATTATGTTGGACATGGATTGGGTTAGTGGGTTGGGGTGAGTGGAACTTAGCAAATTTGGTTGGGATTAATTTATTTACAAATGGTATTTTGAGGTCGTTATAGAGGATGGTATTGGAGACATAGTAGGGGCGTTGTCTAACATCCTGAGGACTTTGGATTAGAAGGACTGAATTCGTTGGATATTGGTAGGTTTAGCAGTGCCCCACATTCTAGTCCATATGTTCAAATCGTTTTCAGAAATGTTTTTTAGCATGTCAGTTTGTCCACATGTTAAATTTCAGCCTAAGCAGTTTATAGAGAAGTCCGAAGCGTATGTTCAGTTCTGCCTTTTTATTTGTATGTGTCGGTTTTAAGTTATCCGTGTGTCACGATAGAACCCAAGGTAAGCGTCGATTTTTGGAATGTTGTTGACGAATTTTGTCTGAGGGGTTTTGCTTCTGAGGGTAAATGTAACATGTGCATTTGTTTTCGATAATTTTTATCTTCTAAAGTTTGCTCCATTATTCGTTGGAAGTCTCCCTGGAGCTCCTCCGAGGCAATTGCAGGATATAAAATAAGTGTAAAGGGGTGATGGAAGAATATACATACCACCTAATTTGAGGTATGTAAATAATAAATTATTAAAGAATGAATGAGGGTATGTCTAGGTTTAAAAACTTCATGCGTTGGGAGCTGAAATGACCTAGCTGTTGACAGCCGTTAGAGCTTAACTGAGTTTTGACCTCGGATTGCCAATCGGTTGCTCGAATTTTCTTGCTTAATTGAAGGGGGTCATTCCTTGGCCCTATATAGAGATATATGTGTTAGAGCACAGCAGGGAGTAAAAAGTAAGTAATGTAATTCCTGCATGCAGGAGGGCTTAAAATCCAATTACCCATTGGGTGTCGCGGATGAGGGGGTCACTTTACCATACTTTCTCAATGTTATTCACAATTAAAAATCTATAGGCTATGCCGGGATTCCAACCCCGGACTGCTAGCATGGCAATACAAGTTGGGTGTCCTAACCATCTAAGACCTCCGCTGTCTCATTACTAGGTAATTGAAGGGTGTCGTTTCTTGGCTCTATATAGAGAGTGTGTCGGAATATCACCTGATATGAGAAATACGCAGGGGCACAGCAGGGAGTGAAATGTAAGTAAAGGAATTCTTGTCTAACAGGAGGGCGTAACGTCCAAATGTTGGGCTATAGAGCAAAAATGTAACGCAACAGACTTTTCTCTATTTTACCACATGCTATGGGTTCCGCGCAAATTGCACAAAAAAAGAACTATCTAGGTAATGTTAATTAATAGTCATTATAATAAGAAAAAAAGACAATTACTATTCTTCCTGAGATCTTTAAATTCTCAAGCCTGGTCAAAAAAGGTTGAGAATGAAATCTCTAGTAAGTTGGGGATATGACAGGGAAAAAAAAGACAATAAAATACGGTTAAAAGAAAGAAAATGTCTTGCGGTTTCCTTTATGATGAGATGGTGCCTTCCTCCCAAGTAACACTTTTTATTTGTTTCACTTTCCTGTGGACGTGCCAATTCTTCAATGGGCCGATTTTCCTCCGGAATCGCACCGACGCGAAATTCACAGTCTCGACATGAAAATGATATTTCCGTATGAAAATCCCCGAACGCCCGTGACTGTCTTTTTTCCTCACCCAGCCCCATGCATATTATGGACCAACTGGGCAAACATCCCTATGCAAATCACTATAAAACAAAATACGCACAGGAACTCTCCAATGCTAATTGAAAGATAAGAGTATAATTTTATTGTTTCATCATCAATGTCCTATTAAAGTCATGCAGATATATCTTATCTGTGACGGATTTAACAAAAAAAAACCTTTCGACGCACCCACCCACGACCAGAATTGAAAAATGTGGAACACATGTGAAACGCATTTCTTCCCTCTAACTTCGACCCTTGTCAGTCAAGGTCTTGGCCTTTTTAGTTCTAGGGGAAGTGGTTCAAAGAGAAAACAATCTTCCTTTTATAAAAGAAATACACAAAAGAGAGGACAAGTAAATTTTAAGAGCGACAAAAGGTCAGAAAATCGCAAATGAAAGTTCATTTTAACTCACAACGCACTCATGCCATTGAGTCAACTAATTAATCACTACAATGCATGTGAAAATAATAAATTTGTGATAGCAAATTTTATTGTTTAAACAATTTTAGAAAAAAGAGAGGAAGTAAATATTTCAAAGATCAGAAAATTAATCTCAATATTAACTTAGCCGTTGTTTAAATTTTAAGATGTGTGCATGAAATGATAAATAATATAGTTATGGTTAAATCCATTTTTTTAAATTACACTCGTGAGATATTTCTCACTTTGCCACTTTAGTCCCGTTGGGCGTGTCACAATCTAGAAGATATGGGTTTTCAATTTTCGTTGACGGTTTTTCCGTCAAAATAACACATTTTAACTTCAAACTTAACCCTTTTTAACTTCGAATTAACCATTTTAACTTTAAATTAATATTTTATTATTTAAAATTAACCAGTTTAACTTCGAATTATCAATGATAATTTGAATTTGAATTTCAATTTAACCCTTTTTACTTTAAGTTAACCCATTTTAATTTCGAATTAATCATTTTGACTTCAAATTACCTTTTTATAGTTCAAACTGACCCTTTTTAATTTCATATTAACCTCTTTAATTCCAAATTCATCCATTTTAATTTAAAATGAACCCTTTTTAACGATAAATTAACTTTTTAATGTTAATTTAATCTTTTTTAAATTTCAAATTAACCCTTTTTAACGTGAAATTAAGCCTTTTTTTATATTTTAAATTAACCCCTTTTTATTTCAAATAAACCTTGTTATTTCAAAACACAATAACACTTTCTAAATTCAAATTAACCCTTTTTAACTTCAAATAAGCCTTTTTAATTTCAAAGTAATTATTTTTAACTGCAAATTAATCCTTTTTCATTTCAAATTAACCCTTTTTAATTTTATATTAATATTTTTAATTCCAAATTCACCCATTTTAACTTAAAATGAACTCTTTTTAACAATAAATTAACCCTTTTTAATGTTAATTTAACCTTATTTAAATGTCAAATTAGCCATTTTTAACATGAAATTAAGCTTTTTTAGATTTCAATTTAACCTTTTTATTGCAAAATACAATAGTTCTTTTTAAATTCAAATTAACCCTTTTTAATGTTAATTTAACCTTATTTAAATGTCAAATTAACCATTTTTAACATGAAATTAAGACTTTTTAGATTTCAAATTAAACTTTTTATTGCAAATTACAATAGTTCTTTTTAAATTCAAATTAACCCTTTTTAACTTCAAATAAACCTTTTTAATTTCCAAATAATTATTTTTAACTGCAAATTAACCCTTTTTAATTTAAAATGAACTCTTTTTAATTTGAAATGAACGCTTTCTTTAATAAATTAAAAAACTTAAAATGAACCCTATTTAACGATAAATTATCCCTTTTTAATGTTAATTTAATCTTTTTTTAAATTTCAAATTAACCATTTTTAACATGAAATTAAGTCTTTTTAGATTTCAAATTAACCTTTTTTAATTTCAAAAAAACCTTTTTATTGCAAGATACAATAGCTCTTTTTAATTTCAAAGTAATTATTTTTAAGTGAAAATTAACCCTTTTTAATTTAAAATGAACTCTTTTTAATTTGAAATGAACGCTTTCTTTAATAAATTAAAAAACTTAGGAGATGGTATGTAGTCTTACAAAGTACAATTTGAAGAAAAATTCGTATGTATTTCAGAATATTTTAAAAATATAAAGTAATTGTGTTTTATAAGACCTTATGAATTAAAATTATGTATAATTAAATGAAAGGACAAATTATTCTTCTATTATTAATCAACAATTTTTTAAATATTAAAAAAATTCGTCCCTTAAAAGTCACATCAAAAATAATGCGGATACAA